AACTTACTCCAATTGAAAACATAAATTGTGCAATAGGTTTAATCTGTCCGTACGCACTTGCCGTTTATTTTTACATATCCAGTGGGACATTCATCACCGTCAAAAGCGACACGGTCATTTAGATCTGATGGTATAGTCACGTTGCCTTTTGGATTTTGCATATTAGTACCAGGAAATATTATTTTGTCTTTGTTTTCGTCCTTCTCAGCTGATAATTGCGAAGTAACAGGTGGTTTCGGGAAGCTGCCTCTCAATGACGAGGCCACATCTTCAGAATCATGACTCGTTCCATGCTTCCTTATTTCCGGTACCTCATCATCAAGGAATGTTATTTTTCCATTATCAATTTGTATGTTTGATTTTTCAGATGTCATCTTATTAACCAACAGAGATGTAAAAGGCGGTATCGCTTGACTGTTAATTGGTGGTAGGTCTCTTTTTAATAACGGTGGGTTTGAGTTAATGTAGATTTTTTGGCGTAAATCGGAAGTGCCAATAATATTCCTCTTCAAAGTTGCTGCTGTTCCACGACTTGTTCGCGATATTAATGGAACTGTAGAGTTCACATCAAAATTAACGTCTGTTCTTTGCTCTACTGACCTGGAAACTGGCACTAAAAATAACAAAACTATCAATACAAGCATATTAATATATACAAGTATTTATCCTTATTTGCGCTAAGCCACAGCCACATCACAATTGCCCAAATACATGTAAGAGGAAAACACGTGAACGGACACAACTTTACGTGTGCAGACTGCTAAACGCGTACGTCTAAAATAAACTTCTTAGCACAATATGAATTCACGTTTTTTGCTCTTGAGTTCATTAATGACACTGATGATAGTTCCGTAAGTATGACTGACTCGTAGTGGCATAATAAAAAAAAATCCAATGGCAGTCATTGAAATAGCCTCCAATATCAAGGGTGGTGGACCCAAGATAAGGTAACGGTGCTGTTACGCTGTGTGTTGCAACGGCATCACACACAACATTATAATGTCAAGGTAATCACGAATATTTTTCAAGCAAAACACTGTCTGAGTTACGATTATGGTTTTTCTTATTGACTTCATATACCTACACATATTTCGACTACTATTAAGTACTTACCTACCTAAAAAGTATAACATTAGAGACTGACATCATCTAGTTAAATTATGATTCTATCGGTAGAATAAACAGTATGAAGTGTACCTACCTCTGTACCTATTTACATAAGCGGGCGACAAGGTTGTCTATAGGTGACGGGGGCTGAAATGTTTTAAATCAGAATCTGCAGGACGTGTACCGTGCAATATTTGTTTTTGTACGAGGCACAACAAATCAACAACAAACAACACTTGATCGAGCTTATCATTTCATACTATTTTCTGAATCAACATTTTTTTAGTAAACTTTCTAAAGATTCTTCTTGCCCATCGTCCTTCTTCCATTAGAGCCACGTGAACGTGAACCACCCCACTCCACTTCCCTTCAGTAATTACATGGGCTACCTCTCTCACCCTCGTTTCCGCTGAATCCATCAATTCCTTTTCTTGTCACAAAAAAATATTCTGAGCATAGATTGTTCCATCGCGTTTAAATATGGGTTCAGAGTCCTATGTGAGGACTGGCATGATGCATTCTTCAAACAAATTTGCCTTAAGTTTTATTGGCAGTTTGCTCTTAAGTGGTATCTCTTTGTGTGATATTCGGCATTCTACTTCGGCTGTTTGGATAGCGCTGCCTAGGTTGACTTTGTGGCCAAGGTAGATTTACTCCGTCACTAAGTACGTCAACTTAAAAATGACAGCCATTTGCCTACGGTATGTTGGTCATGATAACCCCGCCATTTCTCTTGGTTGATAAGAGACAAACAGAGCTTGTTCCATAATCTGTTCACCACAACCCCTATTTAATATGTGACAGTAGGCTGCTTGGACTTTGTTAGTAATTTATTAAGCCGCACTACATCACCCTTCTTGTAGATAAAGGTTATAATGGCATTATTCTATCTGACTGGCACTGAATCTATTAAATATTTAGTGAATTGTTTTGCTAGTGCTTACTTTTGAAATAATGCTGTCCTCGTCTGGAGCCAGCTGAATTTTCAATTTATGAAGTTACGTCAGGTGGATCTTCCGACCCGACGTTCAACACTCAACTGGTGACTTTTACCTAATTGTATACCTTGTTAACTCCTCGAGTTCAGCATTTTGCTTTGATATGACTTTAATATAGGTTTTCATAGTAGTGACTAGTTGTGTTTGACACAGTATATTCTTGTATGTTAGTTACTGTGACGATGACGACCTCCGTGGCCGAGTGGTATGTACGCCGGGTATCAAGTTGTCGCCTACTTGAGAAGTCCCCGGTTCGAATCCCGGTGCGAACAATGTTTGTGAGATGAATACGCGCATTTGTACTCCAGTCATGGATGTTTAATATCTATTTCTATATTAATAGGTAATATAATTATGTACCTACGAGTATGTATCAATATATGTAGTCTACTATCTATTTACCTTAGGGCCAAGAGGTCCATGATCCGGGGCAGGCTGCGAGTGGTAGCTGCAAGAGCTAGATTAGATTTTAAACTATACCCAGGAGGGTACGAAGTTTGTTCACTTCCTGACTGACTGAGTATTATATAAAATAACAGTTTTGAAAATTGACCTTGCTGTTTCATTTTATGTTCTCAGATCCAATTGGCAAAGCTGTCCGTGTCCGTAAAAACACCCTATAACTCATATCTTACTCGGGTTTTTATGTTAGTAACAATCATGGACTTATTATTCAAACTTAGGTATATCAAATAAAACTAGTTTTAACGGGTTAATGCACGTTAATGCACGAAAATTATTTATTTATTGACGTATCGCAACCTTTTCAGGTCTGCATCATCAGGATAATGATTTTATATTTACTTTGTCGAGCTACCTTCGAAAGACTTTTATTGAGCGTTTGGATATTTCATTGGAAGATTTTTAAAACTTTATTGTCTATGTATGAATTTATTAGCTAATTTAGTTAATAAAGTACTTTATTTTGCATGATTTTACATAAGAAGGAGATAGAAAGTCTCTCTGAGTTTGTTTCGCCGGTTCTTCTCAGAAAGGTCTCCCAATTTTGGAACCGGTGGTAGTTTACGGTAGTTAGGGTCAAATAAACAACTCAAAATTACAAAAAAGAATTTTAAATAAAGTACTTTAATAACTAAATTAGCTAATAAATTCATACATAGACAATAAAGTTTTAAAAATCTTCCAATGAAATATCCGAACGCTCAATAAAAGTCTGTCGAAGGTAGCTAGTAGGAGGTAGCGACAAAGTAAATAAAAAATCATTATTATGACGATGCAGACCTGAAAAGGCTGCGAAACGTCAATAAATAAATAAATTTCGTGCATTAACCCGTTAAAACTAGTTTTATTTAATGAGTGATGTGCGTGAAAACCTAAGAAACTTAGGTATATCGTTTGTATCGAGTTTGATTTATTTTACTATCATCATGGACACGATACATTTTAGTGATGTAACGAATATTCGCATTCGCATTCGCGAATATTCGCATATTTTTGAATATTCGCATTCACATACGCATTCGCAAAATCTCTGCGAATGTTTAGCGAATATGAATATTAGAGAAAAACAATTTGAAGAAGTTGTAGTTCTGCCTTTCCTTGAATATTCATTGTTACACAGTTTGCATTTAGCTCGTTCAGCATCGCAAAGTGTGAAATAAGTCCATGTTTCACTAGAATTCGATTTACTCATGTTAATAAATCACTATTACCACTCACAATCACTAACCTCAAAATTCACTTGTTTTGTTTACGGAAAGACCGGTGTGAGCGGAATGACACTTCAATCGGATGAGTTCATATCAACTCCGCAATTCGAACGAGACTGCCACCATGCCATAGACAATTGGCGCCAATTTAAAAAATAAATAAATATTCGCATTCGCATTCGCGAATGTCGGTACCAGACATTCGCATTCGCGAATGTTCAAAAAATGACATTCATTACATCACTAATACATTTCATGTTAAACAATAAACAACACTAACACCGGCCATAGGGTGCGGCCAGAGTGCACTCAGATTCAGAGTCAGATTCAGATTCTGAAAACAAGCGCGAGAAATAAACAGTGTAGTCTAAGCAGGTTGCCTGCTTTTTCTCGCGCTTTGTTTTCTGAGTCCGAATCTGAATCTGAATCAGGAGTGCAATCTGGCCGTACCCTTCGACTACACTGTTTATTTCTCGCGCTTGTTTTCGAAATCTGAATCTGAGTGCACTCTGGCCGCACCCATACACACTACGAGAAATCGTTACGATTAGACTGTACAGTCCGAACGGTACCGATAAATCATAGCGTGTATGTTATAAAACTGCACAGTTTCCTATACTAAACGAAATCGTATAAACTGTTCCGTTCGAACTGTACAGTCTGATCGTAACGATTTCTCGTAGTGTGTATGGCCGGTATAAGAAACATAAATGATAAAAAAAGAAAAACTAAATATCAGGCTGTAGCTGTATGAACTCAATATTCTATGCCTTTCAATAAAGCGAGTATAATAAAAAAGTCACTGGAGTTTTTGGCGGGATTTCATCGAGTGCGGTTGGCGTCTTATTTTAATTATTCTTAAATTTGTTCATAGTGGATATTGTGAAATAAAATGGGTGTGGTTTTGTGTAACAACCGTCTGCGTAACTGAAGAATTAGTGGAATAGTTAAAATATACGCTATTCCGGTCAAGTGGACGTGAGAATTTTATTGTAGTGTTGACTACCTCACAGAAGCTTATCGAAAAGGCCAACTCGATACATTTCGTGCCAAACACTCCAATAAACATTAGAATGCGTCACACCGACATTCAAATGTAAAAACAAAAAGAAGATCAATTTAATTAAAGACTAGGCTGTATGGGCATTGTTCCCTTTGCCTTCCCTAAAACGGGAGAACTTCAACAAAAAAGAAAAAAAAAGTCACTGTCAAACGTAAAATCAAGGTTTGACAGATCAAGATAAAAGGTGAAAAAACGTCGTTGCACATTTTTCGAGTTCATTTCCTATTTAAATATTTTCAATCGTTAAGTAGAAAGAATAACAATGGATGACGATTTACCAACCGATTTCCAGGTCATTGTCGTTGGAACAGGTAAGTTATAACTACATTATAACAAATTTTACCGGTTGTGATGGCGTTCCTAGCTAGCATATCGATCTTATTTTTTGTCACTGCCTTGTCAGCAATGCTGTCTTCCAAGTTTCGGTCAAAATTGACCTCAATTCACCTAATAAATAACTTATTAAAAGGATTAAAATATTTTTTTTGTTGTACCTAGTAAACGACCAATAATGGATACTTAAGCCTAAATTAAATAATGTCGCCGGGGTCTCTTATTAATAGTCCTTAATTACCTAGCTATTGTCTTGGTACCTTACTTTTTAGGACTGTATAAAACTCATTGCTTTAATGCTTGCACCTATAAATACTATTCATGAGCATTTCATTGTCTTTCTATTATTTTTATAGTGGTTATATGCATAATGATGATAAAATATGTACAGACACCTACACATCAAGTTACTACAAACAGTACAATTTTCTCAAAAGCTTAGATAGCGTAAATCATATTTTAATTAGTATAGAGCTCAAACCCATTTAAAGAAATTTGACAGTTTTGGGTAACTTGACTTGTGGCTGTCTACTTATTTTTATAAATTAACTTAAGATTGTTATATACTTTGAATCACAGTAAATAAATATAATTTTGAGAATGAGATTAAAAGGTGTCCAAAAATATCTAAATTTCAATAGAGAAGATGGTTGGTATATATTAGCAGCTTGTGAACCCTTATTCAAAAGATAAGATCACAATCCTGAATACACACTGTAAGGCCAATGGATACTGTAATTTTTTTTTGCTTACTTGATTCTACATAAGAAGGAGACAAAAGGCCTCTCTGAGTTTGTATCGCCAGTTTTCAGAAAGGTCTCCTAATTTGGAACTGGTAGTAGTTTACAGTGGTTAGGGTCAAATAAATAAAATACAAATTTAAATAAGAATCAAATAAAGTAGTTTATTTTTTAAGAATAAGTTAATTTATAAAAATTCATAGATACCTACAAAATTTCCAATTATCTTTCATTGAAATATCTGAAAGTTCAATTAAAGTTTTTTGAAGGAGCCTGACAGAATCTGAAAAATGGAGATTTGTATAAAGGTATTAATAAATGTATCTTTAACCTGTTAAAACATGTTTTATTTAATATTTTTTATTAGAATAAAATATCCATAGATCTTGTGAATACAGAGCCTGTAAAGGATCTCGAAAGAACAGGATATGTAAAAATATTAAAAAGCACAGTTTAGATCTGTTTAAAAATGTTTTGATTTAATGTATAGATTTATAAATCAAGCAATTTAATGCTCAAAATAAAAGTTCCAAATTAAAGGACCTTCTTGATAAGAACAGATTTCTGGTGAAACAAACTCAGAGAGGCCTTTTGTCTCCTTCTTATGTTGAATCATGTAAGCAAAAAGAACTAAAAGTATCCATTGGTCTTGCAGTGTGTGTTTGGGATCTTATCTCTTGAAATAGTGTTCACAAGCTGGTGGTATATAATAAGTTAGTATATACCACCAGCTTTCAATAGAGAAGATATTTGAATATTTTTTAACCTTTTAATCTCCATCTCAAAATGATATTTATTTACTGTGATTCAAAGTATATAAAAATGTTAAGTTAATTTAAAATAAAAGTTGACAGCTATAAGTCATGTTACCCAAAACTGTAAAATTGCTGAACTGGGTTTTAGCTCTATACTAAAGATTGTTTTATATATTTTTAAAATAAAAGATATATTTCCAAATAACATTTATGTTTTGCAAAAAAAAACTAGGTATCAAAGGATTTTTTTTATATTTGTAATTTGAAGCATTGTACTGGTAGAATAATAAATCTAAAGAAAATTTTACAAGAAAAAGATCATGTGAATGTTGGCGGTTCATTGCTTTTTAGTTGAAGAGGTGAAGGTTTGTGTATTGTCTTTTGGCCTATTGAAGTGTTATGGATGGACAACTTACATATTTTTATCTTATTGGTACATATCACCTATAAGAATTGTTTTAAGATCTCAGATATATAAAGATATTAAGATACATGCAATATAATAAAAAATGTAAAGGTGATAGATTTCTGATTCACATTGAAAAAGTATTTACCATTCATCAATTATCTTTCATTATCTTACAAAATACACTGTCTAATTACTATTAATTTAGATTTATGTGCAATATGTCATTGGATTACATCATATTCAGCCCAGTGTAGAAGCAAATCTGGTCATACCTTCACTTCATACTCCATGATTTAAAAAAAAAAAGTTTTGCCACCCACTTGTTTCATTGCGCAAAACAACTCTAAAACAGTAATGTACATTCCATCCCTATTAAAAGTATGTCCAAGTTATATAACTCACAAAATTGTAAATCATTCTTTAATAACAGCAGTGCAGGTCAATTTGATTGATTTACTGCAGCTATCGGATGGTTTATAACTAGAGATCACCCTTTCCCAATTCCATATCTATCACCTTTATCTCTAAAGACAGTTGACGAAGTTTAAGGTAAAAGTCGGACCGACACATTTGTAGTTCGCCGTCATTTCTTCTGAATGTAAAGATAATGTGCTCAATTTATTTTTATTCGCGAATCTAACAAATTCTAATTTGATGTTAAATTACGACAAACGGCGACGCACGGTCACGGATCGTCTGGGACCTGCAACTTCAAGGTCAATCATGAATCACTTTTATAGTATCCAGCTTAAAGGTTGGTGCACACGTCAAATTGCAAACGGTTTGATTCCCAATTGCTTATTATTTCCCTGTCCACCAGCCGTCAACCGTACGCAACCGCGAAACTAAGGCGGATATGCCCCTGCGATACGTCCACGCAGCTATGTATACGCCATTGCGCCTTTACGGCAAGGCATCTGGAGGATAACCACTAACCATCTACCGATATTAATGCTGCGTTTTCACCAGAAATGTGCTAGGATGATGAGCGGAGCGAGGAAGTGTAGTGAAACAGTGTGGGCGTTTCCATCAGAGATGTGCTAGGAAGATGAGTGGAGCGAGGACGTGTAGTGAAACAATGTAGGCGTTTCCATCAGAGATGAGCTAGGAAGATGAACGGAGCGAGTATGTGTAGTGAAACAGTGTGGGAGTTTTCATCAGAGATTTGCTAGGAAGCTGAGCGTAGCGAGGGTGTGTAGTCAAACAATGTAGGCGTTTCCATCAGAGGTGTGCTAAGAAGATGAGCGGAGCGAGGATGTTTAGTGAAACCATGTATGCGTTTCCATCCGAGTTGTGCTAAGAAGATTAGCGAAGCGAGGATGTGTAGTGAAACGGTGTGGACGTTTCCATCAGAGATGTGCTAGATAAATAAGCGGAGCGAAGATGTGTAGTAAAACGGAGTGGGCTTTCCATCAGAGATGTGCGGGGAAGATCAGCGGTGCGAAAATGTGTAGCGAAGCTGTGTGTGAAAACGTCGCGCGGACTAGCGTTGCCAGATGCGTGCGCACATCTCTAGTGGAATTATAGCCTTAATCAGTTTGTAAGGATGTGAAAGCGCGGACGTCGAGACGCATTCGATTACTACGAGTTGATCACTCATCAATTTTGGTTTGAGGTTACCGAACGAACCCGTAATTGATTAGTGTACAATGCGGTAGGAATTTCATACAAAGAATACTGGATAGCTGCAGTAAGGCGGTGTAGATACTTTTCCGATCCGATATGTTATATATAGACTGGAAACTCCTTTGTGAGGCAGCTAATGCAGTAATAATGCCATCACGAGACATTTTATAGTACATGCACCTAAAGTCGTCAAGTGCGTCAAATTGAAACGCTCACATGCGCCGTGGATAATAAGTGCTTTCGTACGTACTTATGATATCTCTGTAAACCCGTCGAAATGCCAGGCTGCTATTTTAGGTAGTTCTCGTCAATTGGCTACGCTTGATCTGAGTAACTTGAATCCGGTAATGTACAATGGTAATGTTATCCAGTATCTTCCTAGCATTAGGAATCTAGGCTTATTTATCGATGCTACTCTCAGCTGGGAAGTTCATCTTCAAGAAGTTAGTCGCAAGGTGATCAACACACTTCGAGCACTTTATCATCTAAAGTACTTTCGCCCTTCCAGTACCAAAGTCGCACTCGTCCAGTCTTTTATTCTCCCTATTCTCGACTACGCTTACATCTACTATTCTGACATCACTCAAAACCTTCTTATCAAATTGGATCGTTTACTCAACAGTGGTATTCGCTTTGTTTTCGGGATACATAAATACGACCACATCTCTCCCCTTAAAAAAACAACTCAAATAGCTGCTTTTCAATGGTAGAAGAAACCGTAGATTCACCGCACGCTCTTCAAGATTTTATACGATTCATGTGCTCCACCTTACCTGAAATCTAGTTTTCAATTTCTGGGCACTTTCAATCACCGTGATCTTTGCTCGTGCAGAAATCTCACGTTAATCATTCTGGCTTTGGATCCAAATCTTGCACTGTCACTGCCATACGCCTGTGGAATGCTCTACCACTAAGCATCCGTACTCACAATAAGCTTCAGTTCAAAAAACTTGTGCATGAATACTGACTACCTACGTGATTTTTCAGTTTTCATCGAAATATGTTTGTTATGTGTTTTGTATGGTTATATGAGTGGTTTATATGTGTGCATCAGTTTGTATTTAGGTATTTTTCTTGTTGTTATTATTATGTTAATTTTCATTACATCAAATTTTTAGTAACTTTGCCCTATCGCCATACCAGTTGTGCCCAACACTCATACTGGTTGACTGGTAGAGAATGCCTTTGGTATTGAGTCCGCCATTAGCTTATGTTTGGCAATAAATTCTAAATAAATAAATAGATATGTTATATGCCTACTTTTGTCTGTGTTGGCAAAGTGAATACAGGCCTTAAAAATCATTAATATTTCGGCGCTGCGATAGCTAATCGCGCGTGCAAGTCAATGTTTTTTCAAATTCTTATCGGTGCATATGCGTCGGGCAGTAAGAATGAGGCTGTCTGATAAGTAAATCTTTTGCGTGGAATGGATCGAAAAAGCGAGTGAGTGATATTATCAAATTTAGTACAACATTATATCATTCGTTTGGATTATATTATGGTTATTCGGGCATTGGTTGTTTTAATGTTGGCAATAAGCTGTTTCAAAATCTTCTATGGAGGATTGACAAATATTATAACACAGTAATTAAAAGACTGTATAGCATGCTGCAGAGTACCGCTAGCCCGTATCTTGAAATTTTATTTCAAAAGGAGACTGTGTAGCACACAGTACTCAAACCTTTCGGCTAGAGCCAGATACGTCTTCACGACGTTGCGGAGCCTAAACACTAGATCCGTGTTGCGTGGAAACCGAATCATTTCATTACCTACCGAACTGGAATCTATCATGCTTACCATATGATAAATGACACATTAGATTTTCTTATAACTGTACGGCTACTATTCTCCCTCAGTCCGTTGTAGGTATCATTGCTAAACTCTCGTTATATAGCTGGAAATATGCAAAAAAATGATCATTGTTACAAAAAAAAACCTAGATTTTTGAGATGAAACTTTATAATTAAAAGTAATAGTGTTCATTCATGCTTATTTTTTATGTCTACAAAGATGCGAATTTAATGGTACGGTTCAGTTTTGCTTTGGAATTCTATGAAATACATTTGTTTGTTTTGTTAAGCCGGCTACTCATATTCCTGTCGCAGGTTCAATCTAAGGATTGTTGGGTGTAAGAGTGCCCCACTCTTACATCCTACAATGACCCTTAAATGTGATGTGTGTAGACAAGCAATTTAAATGTAGAAAATCGCCCCTGCTTGCCTAGCCTACACACATCGCAATTAAGGAGGCAATTAAGGGTCATCCCCCTCTTACACCCTAGATTGCCACTGCGGCAGAAACGTGAGTAGTCAGCTTTATTCCTCTTTATTTGTTTAGGGATGGTGGAGTCCATCGTGGCTGCAGCATGCAGTAGAATAGGCAAAAATGTTCTTCACTTGGACTCTAGCGATCACTATGGTGGACTATGGGCTTCGTATAATTTTGATGGCCTACAGAAGTTCATAAAAGAAGTCAATTCTGATCCAAAACGACAGCTACAAGTTTACAATTTATCTGAAAAGTGGTATATTGAAAAGTAAGCATTGTTGTTTTTTCAACGTTTTTAGGGTTCCGTTCCTCGACAGGAAAAAGTGGAACACTTATAGGATCACTTTGTTGTCCGTCCGTCAAGACCCTTTTTCTCAGGAACGCGTGGAGGTATCAAGCTGAAATTTATATCAAATACTCAGGTCTACTGTCCCTTAGAGCTGTGAAAAAATCAAACTTCTAAGCCAACGCAATCAAAAGATGTTAATGTTTATGCCGCAAATTTTCTTGAAATTTGGTACGAAGCAACGTGTTATAGCACAGATAAAGGAAAAATTGCGAAAACTATACTATTTTTAGTTACATCACATAGTATAAGTTTTTTTTAATAATTATTATATACCTACAGGTTTGTACGGAACTAGGGTTACTAATTAAAATTTTTAAAAGTTTGAATTTCGATAAAAGTCCGCATAAGTTAGTCACAAAATGCAAACATCACCCACTTAGGTACAGTGATATTATACGCGTGGTAGCAGACGCTCGCATCGCGAGTGGGGTCTCGTTGTTGATTTTCAAAAGATGATTTATATTTTGTTTTAAATTAATGAGAACTTAATAAAGATTATTTGACTGATTTGATATAAGTTAATAATTAGTTACACTCTTATTTCATGTAATTAAAATAATCCGGACAAATTAAAAAGCCGGAGAAAGTCCCGACAAAAGGCAAATGGACGGATGGTAATACGGAACCCTCAGTGCGCTAGTCCGACTCGCACTTGGCCGGTTTTTTTATCTCATTATAATTTATTAAAACTATAGTAGTTACTGCACCGAGAAGCTATAAAATATGTAAACAAACATTTAGGGGCTCACAACATTTTTGATTCAAGAACGTATTAAAAGTACCACTCTACCCGATAGATAGATAGCTCCAAAGTCAGGTTTGAGATTTCTTCTTATTTTATTGGGGACGTTTCGCTAATTATTTTATAAATTGGATTTGGTTAACACGCACATATAATAGCTACGTTTGTTGTTTAATAATTAGTAACTTCATGATACGGCGACGATAGATCAAATTTAAAAACTATTAACAAAACTTTTAATTGTTAGAGATTCTCCACAAGAAGAAAAAAAGGAAGAAGGAGATGAGAACAAGACTGATGATAGTAAATCGCAACCTTCCAAAAAAGTATGGAGTCAGGCCAGCTTTGCCGCAGAATATAGGAAATTCAATATTGACATGACACCCAAGGTAAGCTCATTATCTTAGAGTAGGGCGAGATATTTAAATATTTTGCATTTTAGCCTTACCTTGCTTTGTTCACTTTAGCGGTATAAGTAATTATTAAATTTTCTCACCATTTAGAATAAGTACCTAGTATTCCTAGACGTTGTTTTTTTATATGTAGTCATGGCCTGCGCCGGTTAGTTTTAGCGTCGCGTCATTAAGCGGTCGGTCTGCGCTTTTCTTTGCTTTACGTCAAATGTGTAAACAAGATGAATCAAAATCTACCGGGGCGTTTTGACCATAGAGGTATAAGAATAGAGTAGGGGAGATAAAGACTACTACAAGTGGAAGTGTCCCTCTAATAGAAAGAGAAAGAAGATGAGAGACCGCTAGCTTTCTTTCTCTAATCGCGCATGCACATTGGCAAACCTTAAGCATCTTACTATTTCGATGTGATGTTTGGACCAACTATTGGACAGACGACTGCGCATGCGTCACAAGAGAGATATAGCTAGCTCATCTTCTTTCTCTTTCTACTAGACGTACGCTTCTAGAGCCACCACTCTATTCCACTCTATTCTTGTACCTCTATGGTTTTGACGGACTAGTCTAGTTCGACTTTTCGTGGCTGATCAGTCAACCTTACTGACTGTTGGAACATCTCTTATTATTCATCCAGTTACTGTTCTCCCGTGGCCCGTTGGTGGAACTGCTGATCTCTTCTAACATTGCTCGCTACGCGGAGTTTCGCTGCGTGACACGCGTGCTGACGTGGCTCGACAATAGATTGATGCCGGTACCTTGCTCCCGCGCCGATGTGTTTGCCACCGAGGCCGTCAGCATTGTCGAGAAACGCATGCTTATGAAGATGCTCACCTCCATTGTTGGGTATAACGAAGAAGAGATGAATAATGAGTTCAAGGGTGAGAGCAAAACCTTTATAGAATATCTGGTATACACTCCCGTAAAATATCTTGAGCAGCGACCATGGACAAGGAAGCCTGCGCAGTAGCAATTTTACATACCAAAACGTCTACCGTTTAAGTTTATTTGTCTGTGGTTTTGCTTAAGAAGTTTACCGCTTTACTTAAATTTGCTTTTCATTTGTTTCTTCTAATAAAGTTCTAGTCAGATATGACTTTAGAGCCAAAACTATTAAATATTTCTTAATTGGTTCATTTTTTCATTTGTGTCATTACATGGCTTTAGACTGGAACGATAAAACTTTCAACTTATCTTGAACGCGAAGGTCTTACTTCTAACCTATTTCACTTCGTATTGTTCTCGATTGCCGACGGCACCAACAAGATGTCAAATCTATCTATTAAATATTATTTACCTAATTGGTACATTCTTTTCACTTGTGTCATTTCATGGTTTTAGGCTGGAACGATAAAAATTTCAAGGAGTATCTTGAACACAAAGGTTTTACCCCTAATTTAATTCACAACGTACTGTTCGCGATTGCCGGCGGCACAAACAAGATGTCAAATCTATTAAATATTATTTACTTAATTGGTTGATTCTTCTCACTTGTGTCATTTCATGGTTTTAGGCTGGAACGATAAAACTTTCAAGGAATATCTTGAGCACAAAGGTCTTACCCCTAATTTAATCCACTACGTACTGTTCGCGATTGCCGGCGGCACAAACAAGATGCCCTGCCTGGAGGGCGTAAAGGAATGCAAGAAGTTCCTCATGAGTCTGGGCCGTTACGGCAACACGCCGTTCCTATGGCCCATGTATGGCAGCGGAGAGCTGCCCCAATGTTTCTGCAGGTAAATAATTTTTGATGAGTAATATCTTTTTTTTTTATTTATTTATTTATTTTCCACAAAGAAAAACACTTAATATCTATATTTCTGCCAAACTGCAATGCAGTTTGTCGGCAGCAGTTCCCGTGACACCTATATTCATTGTTTTCCCTATTTACAATTGTTTGTCTTTTCTATCAGTACCAAACTTAATAAATATCCAATCTTACATTTTTCGATATAAAAAGTATCCTTTTTGTCTCAATCCAGTTGATAAACTATATATGCTTGCTAAATATAATTAAAATCCATTCAGTAGCTTTTGCGCGATTGAGTAACAATTAATATAATCTATAAATTAAACATTTGACATTTATTAATAATCTTTCCTCTCGCTTTCGTGCAATTTGTGGGATTGATTACGTGAAGTGGGACGGAAGTGTGTAACAGGAAGTTTGGGAAACGCGCGCTATTTGATTTGATTTTAGAACATAATGTTCAAATGGCTGGCTTAGTCCTTTTGTAGCAGGTTTTATTTTTGTTTTTACTAATATAAGGTGAGGTTTCAAATGTTACACATCATACGCGACTAGTGTAAGGCTATCTCGTTTTTTATTTTTATCGACACATTACTGCTAGCCTCTATAATAAAGCTTTACACTTCATACAAATGTGAACTTAGCCTTAAGCTCTTCATGAATATTTATTGATATTTATGATAGATATAACTTTTTCATTGTATTAAATATTAATACAATTGATTAAATTGTTCCACTTTGATTAGTTTTTAACGTAGCTGAATGAGGCACCTTTTTATATATGTTATCTTTTGGTATTCTATAAATACCTATAGTAATTAAAAAAAATCAAATACGTTTTTAAAAACTAAAGGAATGCATAAACGATGGCACCATGAAAGTCACAATGATGCACAGTTCGTTCAGTGACCTAAATGTGCATCAACTTGACCAACGCAAACAAAAATGAAGCCACTTTCTAATGTTGCATGCCGCACGCTCTATATTTTAGTGATTTAACTTTTTTATTCTAGTATAATTGTTAATGATAACAATTTAATTATCACCACTCTGATGTGATGAAGTGCTCTCGAAGAATATTCGCCCGGCGATGGTTTATTTATTATAATTTATTAAATGTTCTTTCTGTTTTGTTCTGATTGCATTAATGAATTTTAAAAGTCAAAGAAAATATTTAAGAACTCTCCAGAAGTTGAGTATAAAAGAACTTATAAAGAACATACCTACCTTGTCAGAATCATTTTGGTCAAGCATTAAAGTTTATCTAAAATATAATACATAATTGAATTATAAAGTTTTAGCTTTTAACTACATAAATAGAAAAAAATATAATAATGAGGCATGATGCCTTGCAACCAAATAGGTAGTTGGAAAAATTCGATATATACGTTACTAGTGTAGAGCTAAAGTGTAGACTACAGTTTTTGTTCTCAGACTTGTATTATCCACAATGACATTCATCTATGATTCTTCTTATACCTGCATACAAAGTCTCAGCCCGATCGGTTTAAAATTGACAAAGTTTCATACAAACTTTCATTCCCTATTTTATCCCCTTGGGGGTAGAATTGATCAAAATCCTTTCTTAGCGGATGCCACGGAGTACCCCCACTAGAGTCCGCATCACGCAAATTTTGTTTAAAATCAAAATCGCCAAAGTCGGTGGCGTGCAGGGAGATCAGCCGCGTTGTGATTGGACACGTCAAGGTCAGATGATATACTCAGTGCAGCGAAGTGATGAGGGTAAGATCGATTTTAGAAAATATCGATATTTTATATCGATAAATAAAGAACACCCGGCATTATGTGCCAAAGTTGTATACTTTTTTAATTTTTTTTATCTGTGTTTCATAATTGGGTAACGTAGTCTGGCAATATTTGTCATCAGCAGCTAGCTGTCAATGTCAAATACGTAGGTTTGTCAATATAACCTCTATATGTAGCCGGGTCGTCAAAAGAAATAACGGATAAAAAGGCAATCACAGCAGAGAACATTCACAATCACAGTACGCGGGAGCGAATGATTTTTTTGTTTGTATTTTAGGATTGTCAAATTGACATTTGGTTTTTTATTTAGAAAAAGCAAAGGAATCATGGTTTTTACAGTCACTTGATTAATATTTTAAGTAAAATTCTGTCCCTTGAAGATTTAGGGTTTCCTTATCAAAAAATATTAATCATTATATAACTTCTTTCCACGATTCACTAAAAATAAGGCAAAATTAGTTTTATGTAGCAAATAATTTTGGCTTCATTTTGAGACCAAATTCAACTGTATACAAGTTTAGCATTTTTTCTATGAAAAGTACCGGATCTCCATTGTACAGAGGCCTAGTACTTTGGTGCGCTAGTGTAGCTATGCGCAAACATACTCTCTCCACTTTCTTCCAGCGTTCTAATTACATGACGCGACTAGTAACTACATACTAAATAAAATATAAGCAACACAAAAAACACGTAAAAAAAATATCTAGATAGACAATAATATGCTGTTTATGACAACTTTTAAAACTTAAGGCGCCTTACTCATCGTTTCGGTACAGGTTCGTTTTGTTTGCGGGAGTGACTGTCAGTGGTAAAGTGACGAGAACATATGTAACTGTTTACAGTTGGAGTCCAATCTTTACGTTTAGTTGCACTTATCCAAAGTTCCTTCATCTTGGCACATTTTGGAAACCTATGAAATAAATAAAACACGTAATGTTACTGTATTTTGATTCTCGCATCAGTCTGTAAGATATCACCTTAAATATCTCTTTAAAGATTTTGCTCGTTGCTGTTCTCGTGAAAGGCACATGCGATATACAGACTTAATGAATTTAACATTAATACGGTGACGTCCGTTGCTCTTGACTTAGCACACGCAAAATAACCTAAGTATAACCAAATTATTGATTTTGAAGGAACTTGGTAAATACTTATCAAATTTTATGCTAGCTACCACCCGCGACTTCATCCACTTTAACTTTAGTTTTTTGAAAATCCTTAAGAAACCTGACATTTTTCCGTTACAAAAAGTATTCTATACAACGATATTTTATACCCTAGATACGACAACATGTACAAAATCGTGGCCGAAACGTGACCAAAAGGTACATTTGACGATTCACAGAGGTCCGTAAGATGATCGCGTGGTCAAAATCAATGTAATGCATTATTTAAAAAAAAGTCACCTTTAATGCATACGGCATAAGCTCTTAATTAAAACGCATGCATCAAAGATTTATGGCAGTTCAAAATGCAAGTTCCTAAAATTTTACGACTTATTGTTATATGCGAAAGAAAATAGACCTTATTTTTTTAACTTTTCGCGCTCAATTCTGAATGTGCTGTTAGCTATTATAGCAGGTACAGACCGCGAAGAAAAAAGACGGCTATAGGGCGACGTATAACCGACCATGCTTTTGAGTATCACAAATATGTTATATTAAATCAGTTTATAGTAAGTATTACAATAAAATTTGCTTCAAATGCGTTAACTTTATAATAATAATAAAAACGTTTATTTGGCTCAAATTATATAAATAACTTATTGTATTACATAAAGATGACTATGTATCAAATTATAAAAACATTAATTAGATACCTGTCGAAAAAACAACACTTTACGTACTATAGTATTTTTTTCGCATTTTTACGGAGCTCTGCGGCATTTTGACTTTTCATCGGTCCGCGCGTGACTGTAAACCAAGAAGTGCTTGAATAAAGTTTAAACACTTCTTGATTGGGACACATTTTGAGCGCTCGTGGTCTATCTAGGGTATTTAATATCGTTAATTCCATGTCTTTATCTAGGTCATAAAGTATGCGCACTTAATTTCATACAAATCGGTTTAATCGTGTAATAGTAACAAACATCCATACAAATTTTCGGGTTTAAAATTTTAGTACGATATGATTAAAAACTGTTGGTTGTATACTCATGATATCTGTTATTGTATACGATGAAATAAATAGTTTTTATTTATTTTTTCTATTTCCGTAGCTGACAAACTTATCGATAAACTTACGGGTACAGACATGAGCTGCGTCAAGTCACTAGCAATACACGTGCCGGTGTGAGAGCGGAATAGCATATATGATGTAGCGCATGCGAGTAAGGGATAGTGTTAAAAGACATCAACGCGTTCACCAAAAAATAAATACAATTAAAAGCAATTTCATATAAGAGTATTTTTGTCTTTTTGTAATGCATTTAAACTTACCGGTGAAAAGTAATACCATCTTTTTGAAGACTGGAAGTTTTACTCCACTTTCCACATAATTTAATTGCACAGTACGGCATTTTTTCTAGTTTTTTAACGCAAAAACGAGAGAAGCACTTCTGCTAACGCTCGGCTTCGGAATGAAACGATGTATAGCGACGTCTGTGGGCGTGTCTCACGCATACGTAATATACTACTTAAGCTTGGCGTAAGCGCTTGCCCTTGTATGCGGACTCTAGTGGGGGTGCTCCATGGCGGATGCCTACGTCATAACATCTACCTGCATGCCAAATTTCAGCCCGATCCATCCAGTGGTTTGGGCTGTGCGTTGATGGATCACTATGTCAGTCAGTCACCTTTGAGTTTTATTTAGATAGACATTGCAATATTCTTTCGAAAAGTTTATTATACATTAACGCGAAGAATGAAAAAATATATTTATATATATATATAGCAGAGAAATGCTGATTAAAATTAAAACAGGTACCTAAATCTGGCGATCTCCATGCTTTCTTTCGCAACCAGTCCAGAGAAAGATACAGTATTAAAAATATGTATACATACATTTTACCAATAAACGGGATACTTTCCAGATTATGCGCTGTATTCGGTGGGGTTTACTGTTTGAACCGACCCATCGACAAAGTGGGGACCAAAACTGTGGACGAAGGCAAGACGGTCGTCACCATAGACAGCAAGTCCAAGACCCTGAACTGTGACCACCTGGTGATCGGCATCAACGAGTGTCCCAAAGAGATGATCTCTCCGGAGCCGGTTGAAAGTTGCGATATCTCCAAGGCTGTGTTTATAACAAACGGTTCTATAATGGCTAGTGAGAAGGAGCCACTGACATTGCTCCGGTTCCCTCCATTGACTGATGAAGATAACACTGTGACGGTGCTGGAGGTTGGACCCGCAACCGGATCTTGCCCCAAAGGACTGTGTAAGACGATTCATAATAATATATTAATAATTAACTAGCTGTGCCCTGCGGTGTTACCCGCGATTTATTAGGGATATTTTCTCGCAGTAAAGCGTAGCCTATGTGTTAATCCAGAGTGTCAGCTAACTCCATACCAAATTTTATTAAAATCGCTCCAGCCGTTTAAGACGTGAAAAAGTAAAAAATATCCACGAACTTTCGCCTTTATAATATTAGTGTGAATATTCTAGCCACTTTTCCGCGTTAACTTTAGAGCTGTGAAAACCCCTCAGGAACCTATCATTTTTCGGATAAAAAGTATCGTATGTATGTCTGGATCCAGGTCATAAACTATGTGCGTACCAAGTTTCATCCAAATCAATTCAGTAGTTTTTGCGCGATTGATTCTAACAAACTTTCATATTTATAAAATTAGTAGGATACAAGATTAATATACATTGTAGACAGGGATCCATTATCATCACAGAAGCTTTTAAATCCACCTCATGTTTTTTTTTAAACTAGCTTGTTTAGTGCGAAAATTTTGTTAGGCTATGTTACTTAAGCATAGCTTATGTGATGCGCCAAAATCTATACTTTCACTTTTTACAGAGTAAATATATTTTATTAATAAAGATTTGAACACATGTCAGAAAAGTATATTCCAAAATATTATTGCGGCTAATTTTCGCAGCATGACTAAAATGAATATGAAATTATTATACCTATAATAATATCTGATTTTACACATAACTGCTGGAATTCTTCACTTATTGTCAATTTTACAATTGGCATCTCCAGATTTATAGGCAAATAAATGTCTCATTTGATAAAAAGGAAAACTGCATTACGGTGGCGAAATAACGACCGTGTGTTATTGATCTGGTTTTCATCAGACTGTGTCTTTTGTTACGTAAGTTAAAATTAGCCCTCTGAGACAGAGATATCAGACGCGACTATATGCCGGCCTCGTTGTAGCGCGCGGCCAGGGTCATTTGCGTTCATTTCGTTACTTTTTTCTATACATTTTTTGTTCAATTCCACGACGCCGAAGACGTGGAAGAACTTATATGAGTCACATCATGGTACTTTAAAAGGAATTACTTCTGACTGAACCATGAATTTCATTTTTTGTCTCCCAAAGCAGAGTATGGGTATTGTCATCCCTGAGGTGTGGGTATTCCCGTTAGGTTATGGTTAGTTAGTAGAATTAAAACAGTTTTTATGGTCAGTGCAATTTTTTATCAATTATCAAATTTGACGACCTCCGTGGCCGAGTGGTTTGTACGCCGGGTTTCATGGTGTCACCGACTCGAGAGGTCCCGGTTTCAAAGCCCGGTGGGGGCCGATGTTTGTGTGATGAATACGAGCATTTGTACTCCAGTCATGGATGTTTCATATGTATTTTCTATATAAATATGCTTATATATGTACAGTATATGTATTCTATCCGTTACCCTAGTATCCCATAACACAAGTCATATAGTGCTTACTTTGGGGCTAAGCTAATTGGTGTGAGTGTTGGAAATATTTTTTTATTAATATGTATTTACTTTTTGTACTCCTATAAAATATCCCAAGAAACATTATAAACTGCCTAAAATGTAATTAACTAGCTACTTGTGATGAGCCTTTGTTTTTGCATTTAAACTCCATAGTTTTAAGATGTCATCCACAATTATTAAAAATAACTACGAAAATTAAATCTACTGAATAGAATGTTGCCAACAAATCTGTCAGTTAGATTATCAAAAAATAATGGACACTTATTTTTCTTTTTTCGATATACCAAAAAAATTACAAAGGTAAAACGCGTCAAAATTTGGGATTGTGACTTCTGTGGTCACTGCTAAGTAAAAATTGTACCAATATCTGACGTCATGCGACATTTCAAATCAATATAATTATCTTTGTAATATTTTGATTATGTGAAAAGAGAAAATATATATGTCCAATATTTTTTTATAATCTACCTTATAAGCAAAGAAAAAAAAAGTTAGTTATCATCCCTATTATTATAACCACGATTGTATTGATATCAGATTAGTTTAAGATGTACTAATATTGCTTTCAAATTAACTGGTAGTCTTATCTTTTCAGTTGTAGTTTACTTTATAACGAAGAAGGTGAAGGATGCTGAAACCGACCTCAAACCTTATGCGGAGAGGATTTTCGACATGTCTGGCGGCGACCAGACAGCGACATCTGAGAAACCCAAGGTTAGTAAAATTATCATAATCATAATCGAAATCATTTATTCAGTCTAGACTGTACAAGCACTCATGAATATCTAGAAGTAGTATCCGACCGAAAGTTCGGTTTCGGTCGAGTTTCGGCAGAAAAACGAGTTTCGGTTTCGGCGGCAAACTTGCCGAAACTGCGACCGAAACCGAAACTGCGTTCGGGTGTTCTCGCGCTGTGCTCGGTCATGTTCGGCGCGTTAAATTCTATCCAAGCGAAGTAGATTAGTAGACGTTAGTAGAATCAGCAAGGACTGTTTTTTTTCCCTGTTTTATTATTTACAGTCGTCAAGTTGAAAATAACTTCAGAGATGATTCATAGTCACCTTTCATTACATAATAATTTTATATATAATTAATTGTGTACCTGCATTTTGATTGCTGTGTCATACAGTATAAATACAAATAGTGTTATTTATATTAAGTGTAACTAAACATTAACATCTTCAATATCAAGGAAGTAAGGGCAGACTTATTATCGGAGAGACTAGATGTATGTGTGTAGTTTTAAGTCGATTGTGTAGGTTGGTTCGTGGAATAAAAGATGAATATAAACTCATCGCGTGTAATTACAACAGACGGCTACATAGAAAAAAAAACAAAACACATTGCTACCAACTTAAGATAAATTAACCCAACTAACTACTAACATACACAGTATTGCCAACATTAAAATGTTGGATACTCGCAACACTCATTTCCGCTAGCAGCACCCGTTCACGTGTATGACGCATGAACCAGCCATCGCTTTGCTTAACCACATTTTAGGAAACGTAACGAATTGCCTCACACGACACTACCGAAGAGACTTTTAAGAGATAATGACTACCCATAACCACCCATACTAACTACAACATATTTACTTAAAATTAAGGTCATTTGTCTGTAGAACACTGCAAACAATTACAAAAGCAATGGAAAAATCACGACCACACCGTATTGTCATTCAAATACTCTTAAACAGTCTGATATTCTTCCTTATGTAATCAACTTTATATACAGCTTTTAAATTCAATTATAGAGTTGTCAACACATGATTCATAATATATTTCTAATATATAAAATTCTCGTGTCACGGTGTGCGTAATTGAACTACTTCGAAACGGCTCGACCGATTTTCGTGAAATTTTATATGCATATTCAGTAGGTCTGAGAATCGGACAAAATCTATTTTTCATCCCCCTAAATGTTAATGGTGTTAACCACCACCCTTAATTTTTTTTTGTTTTTATGATACTTCATACAAAAATACCTACATTTTCCCTTAATTTTTACCCTTCTACCACCAACCCCTTTTTTTATGGCGGTACGAAGTTCGCTGGGACAACTAGTATCATATAGAAATACCCATTTGAATGGTTGGAACAGTTCATACCCAAGCATTTTTGTCTATAATAATAATCAGCCAATTTATAATAAGCTTTCATAACAAGTGATTTTTAATGGTCGATTTAAATTTAGTCCGGCTCTTGAATATTGCTTGGGACTTTATTATAAAAGCGAACACAAAGACCTCTTAAACGAATTAGTTAAATTATTTTTACTTCTAGGATTAAGTGTATGTATTTCACTATTTTTAGTATTTTTTTTAACAAACACTAAGTTGTCATATATGTATTGTGATGTAACTGTGAATATGCCTATTTCTTTAAACTTATCTCTTAAGGGGTCCTTAACTTTAAGATTATAAATTGATCGAATAGCCCTCTTCTGCAACACAAATATAGTTTGAATGTCGGCGGCATTTCCTCACAGTAAAATACCGTAAGCGTAAGGGTGCGGCCAGAGTGCACTCAGATTCAGACTCAGATTCAGATTTCGAAAACAAGCGCGAGAAATAAACAGTGTAGTCTAAGCAGGTTGCTTGCTTTTTCTCGCGCTTTGTTTTCTGAGTCTGAATCTGAATCTGAATCAGGAGTGCAATCTGGCCGTACCCTTCGACTACACTGTTTATTTCTCGCGCTTGTTTTCAGAATCTGAATCTGAGTGCACTCTGGCCGCACCCTAAGACATTACACTATGAAAATAACTAAAGTAGACTAATCTGGCGGTTTCTATAGTCGTTAACTATCGTATTTTTATTACAGCATATGCTGCAGAACTAAGTCTTTTCGACAATCTATCAATATATGGGCCCCATTGGAGCTCAGAATCTAATGTGATTCCTAAGAACACTGTGGTATCTTCAAGGCTCATATTTCACTTGTAGCGCTTGTCGTTAGCGTTGCCAGATTTTTTTTACCAAGTCGGGATTTAGGAACTTTTTGAGTGAAAAAAGCGGGATTCCTTTGTCTAAAGCGGGACATATTAAAAAAAACGTATATAATCAAGATTTTAAATATTTATCTTTTTATTTGAGTTCAAAGGAGATTGCTCAGCCTAAAGACCTAAAGACCAATAATCATGAAAAATGGTTTCTTACATTCGAAATTATATTTATATTACTGTAGAAATGAATATTATTGACGGACATCCCTGAGAACTTCTATAAATCATATACACTGAATGATTTTGAGGTTATGTTTGCAAATAGATACAGAGGTATTAAAATAATAAAAAACAAAATGTTATATAGAAAACTAGGGAAATCAAGCCAAGTACCGAAATTATGTATTAGATTCAGATATAGAGCATGTAGATTAACAGATAGTTGCATTGTGTGATGATTGTGAATGAGCCACAGATTAGAGAGAATTCTTAAACTCTCGTTAACCAAAGACAGCTAAGAGTTTTAGGTTATACCAGCCATATCTTCAGTAGCTTCATTATTTTTTTATGTTTGTATTTTAATCATATTTTAGATTTTTAGTGTATCTCACCTTATTATGTATTTATAGAGGTGTTTGGCGAAAAATGTATGGCAATAGACTTTATGATGTCGCCTACCATCTATAATAATGGGGATGATGACAGGGTTCAGTAAACGAAATTCTATTTAGTCCGTCAGTTAGATGATCAAAAAATACATTATTTTGGACACGTATTTTTTCTTTCGGCAATCAACCAAAAAATGACAAAGTTATAGCGCGTCAAAGTTTGGGAGTAGGGGCTCGTGACGTCACTTTTGAGTGAATTTTCTCTTATAAGTGTACTCAAGGCTCAAAATCACCAAGGTGGAAAATACTGAATTCTGTTTTATGATGCTATAGAGTGGAAGCTAAATATATTGATAATTACTCTAAATCATAACTAAACTTATGTTAAACTATATTGACCTTGGCAGAGCATAGAATTAAATACTTTTCTTGAAATTTCAATTTTTAAGTGTGCTATCACTAAAATTAATCATTCGGGGAACGGTATTCGGAAGTTTATAATTAAATAAATATATATATATATATATATATATTTCATTTTTACCCTTAACGATAACGGAGATCCGTCGCCAATAGTACGAACTTAAAAAACTTTGACAAAATTTGGAATTAAAACGTTTTTAAGGACAATGTCGCTCACTTGCATATAAATAAATCTGCGGTAGCTATAGGGATTCAGCCTGTTTCCAATATTATCAGACTTTATTCCTAAATAACTTATGTTATAATGGCATTTCTTTGATTTTAGAGGGGTTCCCCGAAATGATGAGGGCATTCATCAAATGACGATATGCAGACAATTAGGGTTTAATTCACAGTTAAATTGAATAATAAGCCAAATTATAGGAAGTAATTGTTATTTATTTATTTGCTATAAGATTTATTCTTAACAAGAACTTAATTCTAACTCAATTAAATCACTTTTTTAGTCTCATAATTGATGACACAGCCAAGTAAAACTCTTGACGTCAGTGCTTTAACTGAACATGAAAGGAGGCGTTTCTGCTTCTTAATCCCGTTTTTCTTTACGACATCTCTCTTGGCTGGACACACCCTACTGACATCATCTCTTTGGAAGAACTCTTTGACTTTTTCGCGAACTTCTTTATTCAAAACAACCTCATGAATTTTGGCGTCAGATTTGAGAATAGTACTGGTTTTCTCTTTTGGCAAAAAACAATTTACCTAATGAAGCAATTTGTATTGCCTTACCATAATCCCGCTAACACATTTTTGAAAAACTACCCTGTCTTTGGATTTTTTTCTCAAATAAAAGATTTCACTTCGTTAAATAAAAGATTCTTGCGCACTTCAGGAGGTACGTCAACGTTTTCTAACAATGCGTTAACTTTGCTATTGGGAGTTGTAGGGTTCTGAGACTTCACTTCTTTATGTAAGCTGTACTGTTTTTCTTTATTTGCTTATTCGAACAGTTTTTTTCAGCTTTGTGAGACTCCATATTGCTGTAAAAATAAAGTTAGTATACCTATTGATAACTTTGTAAGCACGACATACACAAAATTGACAGTTAGTAATAGAAAGTACCAATTAGTAACTAAATAGTCATTTGGGGAACAACAACATCATTTAGAGAACGGTCCATCAAATCGGAGAACGTTCCCCAAATGACCGTTCACCAAATGATATTTTCAAATAACCGCGTCTTTTTTAAACGCCAGCCATATTTGACAGCAATTCTTGCTTCCTTAATGTAAAATATTTGATTATAACATTTGTTATACAACACTATAAAAGCTATTATTGCATAATTTTGATTGGAAAACGCGTTCCCCAATTGACGACCTATTGATGTACGCTCTGTAAATAATGAATTGAAAGCCACTTACCACTTATTTTAATTTCATTTGGCGAACTACTTTCTTCACAGCCACTTTGTTTACAACTCTCTCTACAGCTGTTCCATAGACTAAAGAGGGATGCGTTCGAAATTTTTTGTTTCGCGTAATCAAAGCTGCGTTCACTAACATGATGCTTATATTGTCGGACATTATATTTAGACTTAGATTTTTTAAATTCGTTTTTCTTCTTTAATAATGCTTTCAATAATGTAATATTAGATACAATTGAAGGTGAATGGGTATTAATAACCGTTAAAAATGTTTTATTTTATGACTATTTCTGGTGTTAGCTTTTAAGAATTGCTACTTAGGACGCGTTCTCCAAATGATTTTTTGTACTTATTTGTCCATATAAAATGTAATATATAAGACTTTTTAATTATTTTGTGTGATGTGTGGTTAAAGTAAACACAGTTAAGTGTTTACCAATGCTAAAATGTTAAATAAATACAGAATTTAGGCATTTATTTGCTGCCGAAGTGGATTTACCACCTTGGTGATTTTGAGCCTCAAACGTGACGTGATGCGACTTTTCAAATCAATATATCTCTGCAATGTTTATATTATGTGAAAAAAGAAAAAATACGTGTCCAATACTTTTTGATAATCTACCTGATAAACGAAGAAAAAAAAATAGTCATCATCCCTATTGTCTTAGCACATTTGCATGTAGTATAAATTACGCCAAGAATTACCGTATATGTCAATATTTTTTGTTCATTTGGGCCAATTTGAGCAATCTCCTTTACGTGACAATAGATAGGTACCTAGTAAAAATGTCAATAGAAAATGTATTTTAATAAAAATATGATATTTTAAATCAGATTTACCCGATCGTTAAATAGTTGAGGCTTTGTTTGAGAGTTCTCCATTACGCACCGGGCAAGCGGCCAGTCCACACTTGTCTGTGCCACCCATCCGCGCTTTCTCAGTAAGCTGCATGCACGGTCGAGTTATTCCCGAAAAGCGGGATTGAGCCTGTCCCGCGCGGGACATTTACTTTTGTTTTAAAAATCGGCACCCCCGCCAATATCGGGAGGTCTAGCAACGCTGCTTGTCGTCATCATCATCATTATTGTAACCACGGATCTGAAAAAAAGACGGACGTAACATCAAACTAAAACGATGTGAAGCATGCAAGGTCCTACAATTTCGTTTGTTGTCAGTGCTGCCATATCTACCAACTTTTTGGTAGATCTACCAATTTTCACTTCAGTCTACCTATCTACCACCCTAGACCTAAAAACTACCTATTTTTTAATTAGTTTGACATATCACCACTTTGAATTATTCTTATATCGACGAGCGACGTTGCGATGTATTGCGTGAGTCATGCAACGATGCGTCAAGCATACATAGAGTCCAGGCCATAAACCACAAAAAAAAGCAACAGTTCGCCATGAATTCGGCGTTCGCACCATTTCGCGCCCATATTTTATTATTCCTATTATGGCCTATTCCCGGTTGGTTTGTTGCGGAATTAATGTTGAATCTTTGCTCCTGTTTTATTGTAAAAACTAATTAACTGCGTATTAACGGTGCTGATTGCTGTTTGTTCTATGTTGCGTGCATTTATTTATATAATGAATTCTGACAGCAGCGAAAGCGATGCATATAGTTCTAGGTTAGGAACTTCGCTACGAAAACCTAGAAAAAGGCACTATGACCAAAAATATTCGATATTATGGGAGAAAGACAAGGAATTTGCAGGTTGGCTTTAAGAAATTACTAAGGGTGACGGATATTTTTATTGCAAATCATGTAGGTATGATCTGAATTGTGCTCTGCATTGCATTGCATGCATTTTTAATCTTAAAAAATCGTCTAAATTGAGGTGGTAGATCTACCAATTTTGCATTTTACATTCTACCAATTTCTACCAACATTTGGCACATAATCTACTAATTTTCTAAAATTCGGCTTGGCAGCACTGTTTGTTGTACACTATTAACACTCACACAAATGCACCAGGTCGGACAAACCGCTGCCATTTGACTCCGCGTGACAGCGGCAGTCACACGTTCAATTGCTCCTACATTTTTTTAAAAATATGCCGTCTTGTGTGATGATATCATGTAAAATCTGCAAAGGTAAACTTAATAAGCCACAAAGAATCACATACCATGCGTAAGTCAAATCGTGATAATTTTTCAAAATTATATTTTATTTAATATGATGAAAATTCTAAGCAAAAAATAGAATTGTGTGGCTACATTTTTTTATGGGAATTTTTTCCTAAAAGTGGGGAAATTTATTTGTATTTCATGCATTTATGACTCGGTAAGACAAGATTTCGAAACTTTTAATGTTCCGTATTCCAAACAAAAACAAACAGAACCCAGATTATTCATATAAAATTACTCTTGCCTCCTTTTTATGATTACTGTTATTTTTAGTTATGCTGCCAGTACTGTCTGCAGTGCACATTTTGAAGATGTAGATTTTATAATTACAGCTAAGGGGCTACGTTGTTTGGTTCCGTACGCAATCTGCACGATTTATCTTATATATAAAATTATCGAGTCACAATGTTAGTCACCATACTTCTCCGTAACGGCCTTACCGATTTTTATGAATTTTTATATGCATATTCCTTGGGTCTGAGAGTCGGCTACTATCTATTTTTCATATCCTTCAGTGATAAAGGTTGTCCATTTGTAACGTAGTATTCAGAAACTTACGATGCGCCAAAATTCAAACTATTGGGTATTGTAACGTAGTGTTCTCATATGGGTTAGGAGGAATGTTATCCCAGGAAATTCAAATCAGGAGAACTGATGCCATTCCTCACGTTAAATAGGCATATTGTGCCGCCTGCTGTACTACTTAGACTAAGAATACTAAGAAGTCGGTCAGTCGCCTACGTTTTGATTTGTCCCGCAGTGCCTGTGGTCGGTGATGTACAACGTGCGCGACACGAGCGCTTGCACGCGCAGTACTGTGGACAGCGTGCACGTGTGCTCCGGGCCCGACGCCTCGCTGGACTTCGACCGCGCCGTCTCACAGGTACACGACAACGCGACACATATAGAGGGTGACGGTCGGTTATATACAACGTGCGCGACACGAGCGCTTGCACGCGCAGTACTGTGGACAGCGTGCACCTGTGCTCCACATATAGAGGATGGTCATTTAAAATTATGCCTTACTAGCAAACCAGTGAACCAAATGTTCACCAAAACCTGATTTAAAATTTGAATTTCGACATTTTCCGCGTATCGAGATATAATATACGTCAAATATGTACTGATTTTTAGTTCTCGTTACGTCCGTTGTGGCGCTGCTGTTCAAGTTTCTATTCAAAATTTAAAACGAATTCGAATAGTTTGCGAGTACGAAATGTCTCTGTTCAATTTTGTATAGAAACTTGAACAGCAGCGCCACAACGGACGTAAAGAGAACTAAAAATCAATGTATACATTTGCCATAATATGAAAATAGACCGAATTCAACTATTCGAATTCGACAAGGGTTCGTGTGTATAGTACACCAAGCACGAACAACTAGCGAGAAAACATTCGTATTGCCATCGTCAAAGTTTCTATAGAAGGGAGCTTGTTTGTTCTTACGTCCGCTAGGGGCGTTGCCTAGTTTCCAAAGAAACTGACAATGGCGAAACGAATCTTCGTAAAGCGAAAAACAAACTTACCACTACACAATACACATAAACACACACAACACACACATATACATACACAGACACACTCACACATATAAATACATACACACAAACTCACACACACACACACACACACACACACAGACACATATATATATATATATGTGTGTGTGTGTATTTGCCATTCAAGATTTGAAGATTTGGATAACTAGTATTATCCTGTATACTATTTTATTAAGGGGGAAAAAAATGTTTATTACCATTTTCTATTATTAACGTTTTCATTATAGGGAGATATAAATTAAATTATTCACACGAGATTGTATAGTTATTTAGTCGGAAGGCGCCGGTATCTGCAATACAGCTGTAAACTAGTGCCGATATCAACGCTACAACCTTAATGCCTATTGTAAATACTTACAACAATGCTAAAATAATGTGTAACAATTAAAAAAGAAATAAACGTTTATTTATTTATTTAGTGACATGACGGTTTTGTTTGTTTGTCTTTGTAACAACCAGGCCGAGCAGATCTTCAAGCAGATCTGCCCTGGCGAGGAGTTCTTACCTCGCGCTCCCGACCCAGAGGAAATAGTGTTCGAAGAGGAAGTGCCGCGCGGACCAGAGTTCCGTTCCGATGACGCGGACGCCGAACATAACGAGTAGACCGACTTTAATATAACTAGCTGCGTTCGGTATTTGCATCGCATACTTACTTGTTACTTGTTGTGGGCCCCCGTTTCCGCACGTAGACTCCGTACTTGGTCCATTGTGCGTGCAGGGTATGTTGGGCTAGCTAGCTCAGCCAGCCCAGCTCCTTCCAGAAGCGCAGTAGCCTCCTGGGGCTCTCACAGGCTTCTAGGAGCGTCCTCGGCTTCCTGAGGATTGATGCCCGGTGTTCTGCAACGCTCGTGCATTCCAGGATCACATGGGCGGCCGTTTCATCTGCTTCCAGACATCCTCTGCATAGAGAGCTATCTGTAACGCGTATGGTTAGTAAATGCTTTGCATCGCATAGGCCACGGGTTTTTGTTTACGTGATCACAGATTAATCTGAGCAAATCATAGAGGTATAAGAATAGAGTGGGGAAGGCGGCTCTAAAAGAAGTGTCCGTCTAGTAGAAAGAGAAAGAAGATTAGAGACCGCCAGCTATCTCTCTCTATTGTGACGCATGGCATCCAATGGCATTACATCGAAATAGTAAGATGCTTACGGTTGCCAATGCGCATGCGCGATTAGAGAGAGAAAGCTAGCGGTCTCTCATCTTCTTTCTCTTTCTATTAGAGGGACACTTCCACTTGTAGTGGAGTCTATATCTCCCCTACTCTATTCTTATACATCTATAGAGCAAATTGCTATTACCGAACGGCCCGACCAACCGTAGATTAATTTGTAAGCTCGAACGGAGAATAACCTCGTAACATGACAGTTAACCAGATTGATCATTTTCGTCTGCCAAAATACTCCGAGCAAATAGATTTACATCGCACTGTTCTGAGCGGAATTACCGAACACTTCAGATTTACTCTAGATGTAATAAAGGAGAGATTTAGACAAAAAATATTGATCTGATGCAAATAACGAACGCAGCTGCTTTATACCAGTGCGTTTGAACTTAATTTGCAGCATAGCGCGACTTGTTTTATTATACAGCCTACAGTGCCGTCTTTGACCTATTGGAGGCCCTGGGCATATTAGGATAATGGGGCCTATGACTTCCGTTTGATGATTTAACAGGAACTATTTGATCTGAGGGGGCCCCCTGTCGATCCCAGGGCCCTGGGCACTTTCCCAAAGTGCCCACTGGGAAAGAGGGGCCTGACAGCCTATTATCGTTTTGTCACTAATTTCTTGTAAATTTCATAAAAAATAGACTATGGCAATGTAAGTAAACTTCCGGACACATCTATCGGCCCACTTACTGTTATAAGTTTTAACGGTCTGTGGCAAAAATATAATTAAGTTAGGTTGAGAATGGTGTCGATTCTGCCAGGATTCTCTAAACTTAAAACTAAATTTAACATCAGTCTGTCCTTTTTACTCTGTATAGAGAATGACAAGGATACACTGTTGTAAAATTTAAGTTTAGGTTTTCGAGAATCATACCGGAATCGACACCAATAACAATATATATTTTTTAAACACACACGAAAAAGATGGTTAATAAAGCTTCAAAACTGCAGAAATACTTTTTGCTCAATGTAACATTTATTTTTAGCTAGGGACCGTCAAAACCATATAGACCAAAACTTAAAATACTAGGTGGGCCGAAGGATTTGTCCGGGAGAATAGTTTCATGATCGTTCTTTTACCTCTTTCTGTCTGGATTTCATTAAAAGAAACTAGCGAATCTGCTAAAAGTTTCTGAGAAGACGATCTTCAACACGAGTAGAAGACCCCGACCCCTACAGTGTATTTACAGTGAATTTGAGTTTACACCTTAATTCATAAGATGTTACTAATGAACTTAGCAGTGGTACCTACCTGCATCTTATTTTTGGGGCAGATTGTGAATCATAATGTGTGTGATCTACAGTTTGAGAATCAGTTATTAAGACTAATAGATCCTATGTCTGCCAAGGGCGGATCCAGAGGGGGGGTCATGGGGGTCATGACACCCGCTGAGCTGGGTCCATCTGTACCCACTTGACAATCTGTACTTCACATTCTGTATCCACTGTGACTTGACCACGACTATATGACCCCCCCCCTGGCGCCACAGCTGGATCCGCCCTTGATGTCTGCTAGATAAGTGCTAGGTAATGTTATTATTTTAAATTATAAAATGTTTAGCTATAGTTTTATAAAAAAAAAGAAAAAAACATATAAATAGCTTTTATGTTAATTTGTGGTATACAACAACATTTAGATAGAACAAAAGATATGTTTAGACTTTCTTTTTTCTTTATAATAACAATGATGCCGAATCAAAATATTACACTTGGGATTAGATAAGGTAATTCTTTTTTATTACCTATAATATCATAACTTACTTCCATTGTGTAGTATTACATACATTCCAAACTAGTGTTGATTACTCATAAACTTTAATTATACATATACCCGATTGATTGAATGTTTAATTGTAAGTTTACCTTGTGTTGTTCAAACGCGCTGGTTAAGTAAAATACTATTGTGTAATCTCAGTAAGTTTTATACGCTTTGGACGCTTGACTTCGTGCATTCCGACTGGTGCGTTTGGTTCGCGGGATGGTCCATACCATATCGATTGAGCAAAGCCCAGTAGGTGACAATCTCAATGCAGCGCCGGACTCATAAACCAATATTCAGAACCCCAATAAATTAATCAGTTGTACGTATATATTAAATAATTACACAACAATTATTCCATTAAATATTTTTTTTGTAGCGGCTTATGTTAAGTTTTGTTCTCCCTTACTCCGGTGCTGCAGTTACTTGCTTAGTTTATGACATTTTAGAAAATTTGCATAGTATTTTTAATTTGTGATAAACAAAGCAAGAAAATCTTTAAAATATAAGATCGTGTGGGGAATAACATTGGCTAGATTATCTTGATTACGCAAGATCAAATCGTAGCATTTGAAACTATGTACGAAAAAAGTATTAAGGCTGTTGTGTTAGAAATCTATAGCAATTATTTAAGCATGAACTTATTGAACGAACGAATAAACTAACTGCATATTTTATATGTAACATCTTTTTTTTTATTTTTAAAAATCACTTTATTTTGTTAGATATTTGATTTTAAAAAATGCTGCATAATTGCTACAGATTATTATGGATTTTAAGTAATGTTGTTAAAATCGAAAAGCTCTCTGAATTGATTTCATTCTTTGAATGTCATATCATAGAAAGCGATTAATAAGCCAAAGTAGTAACATTCATTTTGAACGAAAATATGTGCAATAATCTAGCTTGGATGCAGTTTAAATATGTTAAGCATAGCATTTTGACGCACCAGTCTACAGCAGTGATAGTAGCTATGTTTTAATTATTTAATTTATTTAGCACTTTTGAAGTATTTATTGTAAAACCAGAATAATTATATGCCTTTGCAGCTTATGCATTGATAATTCCATTAAATTGTGATTATTAAAACATCTTTTATTTATTTCCTATTGTTCAAATGTTGTCCGGTATACCTCCATTCCATATTAAATTGTGAGAAACCTTAGATGTGTTAACAAGATTACAAGAACTATCTTATTATATAATATTATGGTTTCTTAGTTTTTAATTTCAGATCTGTCTACTTTTATCCAGGTTTATGCTAAAACTTAGACAGCGATTATTTAAAATTGATACAAGTTCTATAATTACTTGTGTTATGGAATTCCAGACACCTAAAACGCAGACGCCCCGACCACAACATAGTAAAATTCGCTTAATTAGATAGATGCGGTCAGAGAACGAATCCATTGTGCAAAACAAGCCGCTCGACCGCGATCGTCACTTCGCTAAAATATCCTAATAATAATATCTCCTTGTGCATAAGTTTATCGACATTCGAAATGTAGTAATATCGTACTTTGGTTCATGAAATTTGTTAAGGTTACTTGTATGGGAAGCTCCCTTATTTTGTTGTTGTTTTCTGAATATGTCTTGTCAGCAGTAACAGTAACACGCATTCTGTAAATCCACACTAATTACACATTCTGTAAACGATGTAAAATAAATTATTAATTATAGGTAAATTAGGTCAATAAAGAAATGCAAAGGAAAAAGGACTATGCCAATTTTACAAATAGGAATAAAAGGAGAGACTGTTGTCAAATTTACAAATAGGAAATAAGAATAGCCAATTGAATTGTCGGCATATGGTAGGTACAAATGCTCGTATTCACCCAGTGTTGCCAACTCTACGTCTTTTTACGTAGATCTACGTATTTTAGGCCTTTTCTGTAAACCTACTAACTTAAGTCCCAAAATCTACGTATTTTCTTATTTTTTTCAAATTTGTAAAATAATTTAATTCACTAGAATAAAGAAGAATATTTTCCGTTACTTTACTTAAAAACTATACCAATGTTTATTTCTTATAAAGATGTATCTAAACACTCTTGTATCTTGTCTTGTAGAAAAGGTTCCCGTTATTGGTTTTGTTGACTAAATTAATGCTGGATGCAGGATTTGTGAAAGCAGAAACGACAAAAATCTTTGACTTAGTAGGTACATTCATAACCTTAAAAAATTGTATTTTTAAATTTTAAATATTATCAATGAGTACCTATTCACATCGAATTGATCTTTGCAAAAAGAAATGACTTTCAGTCGATAAAGTTACAGGATTTAGCAAGTTTTAAACATGATCATGTGTAAGTATGTTTATTTCTCTTGGCAATTTAAACCACAACTTTTCTAGTCTTTTACCAAGTGTATCATGATAACTACTATATTTTTCATGTGATCTATTCGAAATCATGGTTTTATAATATTAACTTAGACAGTTTATTTCCTACGTGCTTGCGAGTTTTTGTTTACAAATGTTTGGACGTCATAGTACTACCTACATAGGACTAAGGGGTCATCCATAAATTACGTCACACGAATTTCATGTCTTTTTTGCCCCTCCCCCCGTCCTTGTCACAGCTGGTCACATTTGTAAGACTCCCCCCCTCCCTAGTGTGACGTCACATATTTTGCAAATTTACATTTAGAAATCATTGAATGAAAACAGCGGTTCTGTAATCAGTTTTATTTCCATTTAAATGTTTTTATTATTATTATTATAATCAAATCAAACAATTAACAAAACAAATAAATTACCGAACAAAAAGTGATTGACTATGTTAATTAAAGAAATTAACAAAACATAAAATATTAATAGCATTATAATTAAATTAAAGATACAAACTTAATAATCTTGAGTCCATGGACATTGATCCCACTCCTTTAAATTATTTATAACTGGCATAGCACCACTTTGTTCTCGTTTGGGTTGTTAATTCTTTCGTAAAGTAATAGTTTCAACACTTAGATTTTAATATATTTTGAAATGTGACGTCACGAAATTTAGGACCCTTCCCACCCCTTGTCACACGATGTCACATTTCGTCGACCCCCTCCCTACCCCTTAAAGTGTGACGTAATTTATGGATGGCCCCTAAATAGCGTTTTAGTATGTCTTCTAGGTAAAAAAAATACATTTTTTTTTCGGTCTGATAGAACAATTATTAACAATTTAAAACATAATTCAAAAAAGTGTCAACTAGCCCATTTAAAAACAGTTTATCCTTGTCATTCTCTTCACAGAATGAAAAGGAGAGATTGATGTTAAATTTAGTTTTAAATTTAGAGAACCATCTAGCATCGACACCTACCAGTGTCTGTGTCTGATGGTTAATGTCTACCACAGCATGGTAAATGCTTCCAATGCAGCGACTTCTCCAAGAACTCTTTGTTCTATCTCCCGTTCTTAAATAAATTGTATAACAAAATACTCGTTTAATTCGGTTTCACCCAACTTCTTCATTTCACTCAGAAAAAAGTACGTAGATCTACGTACTTTTCATATGCAAAACTTACCAATTCTACGTAATTTTCTCATCGGGCCTACGCCTTTTTCAAAATCCGAGTTGGCAACACTGTATTCACCATACAAATATTTGCTCCACCTGGATTCGAACCCAGAACCTCTGACTTTGTGACACCTTGAACCCGAACGAATCGCTCTAATGCGGTAGAACAAATCGGTGAGACCAGGGGCCCTTAAACATCAAAAATTCCTTAAAGGATGGAATTTCTGATGGGTTTTTGGATTTACTCGAGCGCGGGAGAATAACATATGGGGAGCAACCTTGCACGTAAATAAGTACTCCCACTATACCTGAGCCATCTTTGTAGGGCCGAACGTCTAGGGCAGCAAAAACAAAATTCAACAAAACGGCCATAACTTTTGGTCGGGTCCAAATCGTCAGTCTTTTGAATAGGAGCTAATGGAGGGTTCACGTAACATGCCTTCTAAATGGCTGACGCGCTTGGTTATTTTTTCCTATATTCTACCCCTTCGTACGGCCACCCCCATATAATGCAAACCGCGGCAGATCAATATTTTTCCGTTCTTAGAAAAGTTACATGAACCCTCTAGTAGCTTATATTCAAAACACTGACGATTTGGGCGCGACCAAAAGTCATGACCGTTCGTTGCAATTTTGTTTTTGCTGCACTAGACGTTCGGCCCTACATAGAGGGCTCAGGTATGGTGGGAGTACTTAACTAGGTGCAAGGTTGCTCCCCATATGTTATTCTGCCGCGCTCGAGTAAATCCAAAAATCCCCACTTGGGCTCCCCTACTATAGTAGCTACTGCCAAATAAACATCCTGCGGTTAACAAAGAGGCCAATCGGCTCTGAAACTGGCCATTGTGGTTGCGGCCGGCGTTGCCTTAAACAAAGCTATCCTACAATCATTATTATACAGATATAAATCCAAAAATCCCCGCTTGGGCTCCCGTACTACTAGGAATGTTGGGGTAAATAGTCAAACTAGATCTTTATGACTAGGTATTTAAAAAATGAATGATCCTAAGATAATGGGTATTTCTGAATAGTAAATTTAGAAAGCAGTTCCCCAAGGCACTTGATAGGTACCAGTTAGTTTGATAATAACCAGTATTAATTAATCCTTGCAGGTGTGTATAAATTAAAACCTTTTTAATAGAAATGGTACTACCATTTCTGGGTTTACTGATAGGAAGGTGTTACTCATTAAAATACTTGTTAGAATTTTAAAAATAACTTATCAATAAAAACAATGACCTTATTCATTATCATATACTTATCAGATGTTGTTAGGTGGAAAATCAAACAATTTTTTTTATATTAATCACACTTTATTATAATATATAGTTCTCTGGTCCATTTTAAAGTTAACACATTCTAAGCTTTTAGTTGCAAAGAAAAAATATTTACTTCTGAACTTATAAAGATAGGCATTTCTTAATATACAGATAAAAATAATATTTCCATTGAACAATAAATGGATACTTTTATTATTTGACAATGTTATGCTTTTGCAAGTTTCATTGTCATTGATGTTCAAAATAATCTCTTCTCATAGGAAAATAGTCCATGAACATTTCCTTCTAATTGTGCAGAGTGTGTTCTCTTCATGAATCTAAGATCTCCAGAATAGCTCATCTCACGAAGACGTGCTACTGATTTAGCACCAAGATCCTGACAACTATGCTGCATCCCTGCTTGTAAGTATGGGAGGAACCTGAGGACAGACCCTTTGTCTACAATGCTTCCACTAACACCTTGAGCTACTCTGTGCTTATCACTCTCCTTGTGGAAGTATCGACTCATTGCTGATCCTTTACCATCTTTATTTTCCATAGCTTCCAAGCTACCCATTCCTCTATATTTCTTCAGTCGCACACCATCTGAGAAGAAATATTCACCTGGTGCTTCAGAGGTACCTGCTAAGAGGGAACCCATCATGACTGAGCAAGCCCCCAGTGCTAGTGACTTTACAATATGTCCCACAGATTGAATACCTCCATCTGCAATGACAGGAACATTAAATTGTTTTGCATAAGAAGATACCTGGTAGACTGCTGTGGCTTGGGGACAGCCACAAGCCATCACCTCTTGAGTAATACAAATAGATCCACTGCCCATTCCAACCCTCAATGCATCTACTCCAGCCTCAATTAGATTCTTGGCTTGCATTCTTGTTACAACATTGCCTCCTATAACATCAATATTAGGATAGGTCTGTTTTATGTGTTTAATCATTTGTATTTGATATATTGAGTTGCCTTGTGATGAGTCCAAGACAATAACATCAACTCCATTATTAACAAGTAATTTCAAGCGTTCCCTGTCGGCTTCTCTAGTACCAATAGCAGCTCCAACTAAGAGTTGTTTGTTGGAATCCTTAGATGCATTTGGGTAGCTACGAGCTTTTTTCAAGTCAGTTCTCGCTATTAATGCAACAAGCTCACCAGCTGCATTTATGATAGGGAGTTTGCCTTTCTTACTCTTTTCCAAGATATAATTAGCATCTTGGAGTGTTACACCTGACTGAGCTGTTATCATTTCTTCAATAGGTGTCATTACTTCTTTGAGACTCAAGTGAGGATCCCCTTCCCTAAAATCAATATCACGAGAAGTAACAATGCCAATGAGGCGACCGCCCAGTTTACCATTATCTGTGATGGGGTATCCAGTGAACCCATTCTTCTTTTTAGCTTCTATAACATCAGCAACTGTATTGCTTGGTCCCATGCAAACAGGATCTCTGATGAATCCATGTTTGTATTTCTTGACTTTGTGAACTTCGTTTGCTTGATACTCTGGAGTGCAGTTGTGATGTATGATACCGATGCCTCCGCAGAGAGCCATAGCAATGGCCATATCAGCTTCCGTTACCGTGTCCATTGGTGTGGATACAAGTGGCGCTTTCAGTTTGAGCCTTTTGGTAAGTGGTGAAGTGAGATCCACCTCTTCGGCTGTGAAATCTATATACCCAGGTAGCAATAAAAAATCATTGTAGGTGAGGCCGTCGCTATTAGCGAATATCTCCGTTGCCGCCAGACCATCACGTAGATCTCCTTCTGCTTTCACAGACATCTTGCAATAATTCGTAATAAGTGGAATGAAAATTAAGGTACCTGTTTAGAGAGATCGTCGTTGATTAAAAGGTTTTATAACGAATTTTTAAGTAATATTTCTGTAAAATTCAATACGCTGTGCACACGTGGTAATGGTAATGGAGATGTAATGTCCACTTAACAATACAATAACAGAAAGCTATTATTATCCGATTTTTACAAGTAATCTAACTAATTAATTATTTCAATAGAAAACTGTGAATATGGAAGGTTAAGTTACAGAAAAAAGATAGGACACCTAACCACGAAGCTCGGTCTCACTCAGTTGAAAACCGGCTTTGAATAATTTTAAGCCATTTTGAACGACTGATTGACACTGACAGTGACAACTAAATGACGGGCTGCGTCAGGGTTGCCAACCTTAAATTTTTTTTCCTCGTACTTAAGCAGTTAAAAATCTCGTATTTTAGCTTTCGAACCTCGAAAATTCTTTTTTTTCAATTCCTTATTTTAAAGGGTTTTGTCTTTTAGAAACCATGCCCATATCTTTCTAACATTCTATCGTCTTCATAAACAGATTGATTGATTTTATACAAAACCTTATTTGTTTTAGAAAGGAGACGGAGGCTTAGAAGACAGCGATTTTATTAAGGAATATAGGTAGTATAAGTAGTATTCAACATATTAGATTGTTTTAATAGTGACACTAAGCATTATTAGGCTTGGCAGTCGCGCACTTTCTGCCCTTTGGTGGCCATTTAACAATAGAAAATCTTGTTTTTCTGAAAAACCCTAGCCTTGGAACATAATCAAAACCTTTATTTTTTCCTTTATTAATTTTACAGGTTATCCCCAGACTTAATTAGGAATTTATGTGATGAACTTGAGCCTATTCTCAAAACAAACCCGAGAAGGTCTAATGACCTCAGTATAGAAACTAAGGTAAATTATGTTTCATGTTTGTTTGAAAAATACTTATCAGCATACTTTTTATTTGGTCTCAGTCAGCATAATGTAATCTTTATTGTTTATACTGCAGGTTCTGACTGCTGTATACTTATATGCACATGGTTCATATCAGAAACCTACTGGTAATGCACAAAATATAGCACAGCAGACAGTGTCAGCTGTATAAGCAGAAGTGACAGCTGCTATTAATAATATAGAAATAAGAAATAAGTATATAAAGTTCCCTCAAACTCCTGCACAACGTAACGCAAATAAATTAAGGTAGGTATTCTGCATTACTTCACTATCTTAAACTTTATAAATAGATTATGTAGCTAGTTATGGATTTTAAATTGCATTTTTTTTTCAGATTTTATAACAAATTTGGATTCCCAGGTGTAATAGGCTGTATTGATGGGACTCATGTAGCCATAGTAAGGCCAAATGAGCATGAAGATAGATATTACTGTAGAAAAAACTACCATTCTCTTAATGTACAACTAGTAAGTAAAATTATTCTTTATGAATAAATTGAAACAATTTGGCAGGGGAAAAAATAATTTTTATTATAGATAGGTACAGAAGAAAAAACTATGAAATATATTTTTACACAATTTCCAAATTGCATGTTTTTTATTTTATTCTAAAAACCTTATATTAATCTTAAAACTTTTTTAGATATGCAATGCTGACATGGACATAATAAGTGTTGATGCCAGTCACCCTGGGTCAAATCATGACTCATTTATTTGGAACAATCATCCATTAAAAATACATTTAAATAATTTAAGTACAACAGAAGCTTTATGGTTATTAGGTAAGAATCACTGTTTCTTTATGTATTCATCACAATAATATGTAAGAATGCCAGTAAAGAGATTAATTTTACAAAACTAACATGTAAAATTAATAAATGAACACTAAATTGTAAGTGGCATTAAATTCGTTTTATATTTAACAAGTTGAATGAATTACTGGATCCTAAAAGTTATAGCTGTATATGCATCTAACTGAAGAAGTATACATAAAAAATTAAAATAGTTATCAATATTCTCATTTAACTTTCAAACTGTATGTTCTCGTTCTTATTAATGATGATCGGGATAAAGTGAAAACTACCATTTAATTATTTTTATTAACACTGACAATTGCAAGAAAGGGACAAACTCCACTTTCGTCGTTGTCCTGCTCGGAAGATTTTTCCCTCTTAAGAAATAAAAACAAAAATGTATTTTATGTAACACTGGTTAGAGTACATTTTTTGAAATCTAATATTGTTCCGTAAGCATTCCAGATAGAATATAAGTTCCTTGCTTAAGGTATACAGGTTTTTTTAGTAGAAATGCCATCTTCATAGGTATCAGTACTCAAAGGTAGCAAAATACTAGGCCCGTTTTGACATTTATAACTAGTGATGTGACCATTCGACTCGGTACACGATACTCATGGTAAATCGTTTCAAGCTTTTATATATGTGAAATTGCTGTGAAAATGAGTATTCAATGGATTTGATTATGTATTGTTATAAAAATGCATTGGATTTAAGTTCTGATTGAAAATGATACAATGGTACGTAAGGTCAATTTGTCTTTAATTTAAAATATTAAGTTACAATAAGTAAGCAAGTAAGCGTAAAATCTAAAACGAATAAATTTCTTCTGATTCTGACTCAAAATTATTGTCATATGAGCTATGGTCGCCTGTTTATATAATTATTTCATTTTCCAAATTCTGGCATGATTCTCTAAACTTAAAACTAAATTAAACATCAGTCTCTCCTTTTCATTCTGTATAGAGAATGACAAGGATACACTGTTGTCAAATTTAAGTTTAGTTTTAGAGAATCATGCCAGAATCGATACCAATATTATTTTTGGAATTTAAAATATTGAGGGTGTGCGCACTGTTAAGCGCGGCACGGAGTGGGCATCCGTCCGGAGCACGTCGGCTCCGTGCTCCATCGTGGGACACTGTTCAACCCGTCCCTGGACTCGCGAGAGGCCGGTGCTTCTGGCAGCTCCTCTAGTACAATTTCAATAGCGCGGGTGAAGAGTCGATAACGGATTATATTTTTGTACCTACCTAGTTAAAAGAGAACTCAGAAGACAGCCAATCGAGCGTACACCGTCGCCCGCATGAAGCGGCTTTATGAAACAAACATGCCTGATTGAAAATACCAACGATATTAAATGACATAAAAACTGTACGCCGAGCGGACGCCCGCTAAGCGCAAGCTCCACTACGATCATTTTTCAACTTTGTCATTGCCTAAATGGCCCAACCGGGGCTGCCAAGAGAAAAATAGTTAACTTGACATTTGTGACAGTGACAGCCACACAGATTACTAATACAGTAAGTATTAGTAATCTGTGTGGCTCTTGATCTTGTCAAAGAAAAACAAAAACTAAAAAATAGATTTGCTTTATATTTGTTTTACACGTTTTCTAATATTATTTCAAAGCACAAGTACGAATGAAAAGTATATTTTTCAATAGATGCCTATTTTGTTAAGGTTTAAATATAAAGTACTATTGTGCTTCTGTTACTAAAGTGTCTATCTATCTTTTACTCTGATAGTTTCAAGCGGGATATAATATGCCTTTTTTAAAAGTTATTGGGAAAACTTGCGGTTTCCTCGGATATGTTTTCCAATATGCCTGTGTTACTCACTGTACCTTTGAATACATAGGCGACTTTGTAATGGTACGTTTCATGTCCCTGCCAGAAGAATTTACCAAATGTTATGTTATGATACATAAAAACACTGCTGTTCAATAACTTGTAACCCAATAACTTTATAATTTTTTACAGTGTTCTGGCCCATCTATGGAACCCACTTTGGAATCCAATAATATATTAGTCACAGAGCACATTACTCCAAGAATACAAAGGCTACAACGAGGAGACATTGTCATAGCTAAAAGTCCAAGTAATCCTAAACAGAATATATGTAAAAGGATAGTGGGAATGCCTGGTGATCGTGTGAAGGGTTATTTCCCTAGACGTAGTCAAGTAGTGCCAAAAGGACATGTATGGTTAGAAGGTGATAATTCTCACAATTCAGCAGACTCGCGGCTATATGGGCCTGTTCCTCAGGGTCTCATTCGAAGTAGAGTGATTTGTCGTGTTTGGCCTTTAGATAAAATTACTTCACTGACTGATTATTAAATTTGTAATACATAATTTGTTGTTTTTGAAAGTGTGTTAAGTTATGTAATAATATAAATGTGAATTTATTATACAACATTGATTTGAGAAATAATGGTGACTGTATTCACCAACCTTTCTTTCATTAAATAGGAAAATTTTATGCAATAAAATGGAAAAAATGGAAGGAAATTATTATATATTTTGGATAACAACCATTAAGAGTACAATCCTCCAGGCTTCTCAAAGGTTGCAAATTATGGCTAAACATTGACCTAATCAAAGAAATATCTATAATTTAATATGTAAGAAAGTCTGTGAAATAAAATGTCAATAGTTTGGGTTGTTATGCTTTTGATAAATAAGAGAATAGAAGTTTTGTAATGTTTAATTGTTATCCACATCAGAAATTGCGTTATTAATAAATATTTTAATTATGGTTTATTTCTATAGTCTTCACTGAATGTGGTTCCAATACCAGTTGAATGTATCTGGTAGTACCAATGTCCAAGCGAACATTCATATCTCGATTATTTCTGAAAAAGAAAATGATGAGTACAGTTTTTTTAGTTGTAATGAAAATCCATGTTATTTAACCGAGTTCATTGCAACTATAAATTTAAAAATAGGCATAATTTTTACCGCTTATTTTCTCAGGCACTTATGAATAAATAAAACAAAAAATTATTGTAGAAATTTATCAGAAAAATAGAATCGATTGGCACTAAAATGTAATGGTACATAATCCCAAATTTGTACATTCATTATTGTAGTACAGATAACACAGGTGCTTATTTTAAAATCTGGCGCCTCGGGCACTTACGATTGCACCTCCCCACCCCCCTTAAATTAGTAATACAGTGGAAACCGGATATAACGACATTGAAGGGACCATACAACTTCGGATGTTAAGTCCGGTAGTTGTTATGTCCGGTAGTTGTTATAAGCAATATACAAAAGTAATCATATTATTGTCATAATTATGTAATGGTAAGTCGTTATTGCCGATGAATATCGAAATTAACTTTATCAATATTCATTGGCTGTAAGTCGTTTTAAGCGGTATTTCGCTATATCCGGTGTTGTTATAGGCGGTTTTTTTACTTAAGGGTTTACATAGTGTTTCGGTCGGGACCTTGCCAATTGGTCGTAATAACCGACAAGTCGTTATAAACGATGTCGTTATATTCGGTTTTGACTGTATTAATTAAAAAGTTCAGTTACAAATGCCTTTGTATGGCTTCTGCCGCCCCTCGCAATTTACAGCAAGCACGTCAAGTATGAGTGGCAATTTACTAAATGGTTTTTGAATATCCAGGGCAACGGTATTCCCTAGGTCTGACACAACATCGCAGACAGCTGTTGAGTATATCAGTGGGTTATCTATCATCACTTCCCACACTTCGCGAACTTTTTTTTACACATTTTAAGCTTAAAATAAACTGCCATCTAAAGTTTGTAGAATACCATAATGGACCCACCTGTTATGTAAAACAACGACCATGTTACCCTGTGGCGTCAAAACAGCAAGGTTCTCTATAGTCATTATACTTCTGCGCGACGCCAAGATACGCACAGATCCTCTAGGTATAAACTTGGAGAAGTGACCCATTGCGTAGAACATGGGGTTCTTTATGAATTCGTCGTCTTCTGCGTACACTAGAATCGGCGAGTCTACGAAGTTGTCTGCCCAGTTCGGTCCACCCGTCGGGCTGAGGCAGAGATTCCAGTCTATCCAACCGACAACAAAGTTGTTCAGATCCTGAAAAGTTGTACATATTTGACGGATTTAGACCCGTATTACAGAATGACAACTAAGTGCTGATCTTTACTTGAGTACAGTTAGAAAGGGATGTCGCTATGTGCTTTGTATAGTGCTATGCCTCTCTAACTATGCTCAAGACTAAAATAGATCAATCACTTATTCTTAATGCCTACAGCATAGTTTCACATAAACAATATTAATTGCGGTGTTAGAAAAGCATCAAATAAAGGTCATGGCGCTATTTTGAGTTTAATAACGTTTCCATGACCACACTTGATTTTGGTGGTGGGGGGTCTTCGAAATTTACCAAAAGACATGTATTTTTACATGTTGTTTTTGATTACAGACAACATTTTCAAAGAATACAATACCTCCTAACAGTTTTAAATAATACTGTGCCCCAATGGCTAAAAAGATCTGTGTTTGTCCGTAATGAAATGTTTAAGAAAAAAACACTAACTTGTAATATGCTGGTGATGTAATTTCGAGCTCGACGCCATGATCCGATTTCAACTCGCATTGCGTCCCAAGGCATCGCTCCTGTAAAAGGATTCGATATTATTTATCTAAATAGCTAATTCAGGTTTAGTTAGATCGTTAGTTTGTTTCATGAGTTTAAAGTATAAAATGCACCCACTGCCGGATCTCTTAATTATAATTACACGAATAGAAGGAACAACCTTTAGAAGTGTAAACCACTTGCAAAAATTCTGATATTGCAATAAAATATGCTGCTCCTGCCATCCTCAATTTGCTGACCTGAATTGACCCCTACCTAATGGACCTCTGAAAACATTACTCCACGAAAACTTCTTCAATCTTTATTTTGTGAAGTGGAGTATATTTCCCCAAGTCGCCGAATAATGGTCTCATCCACAAGAGACCACTGTTAATTAACAATAGCCTTTGACGGGGAGAATGGCTGGAGAGGCATATTTTTCTACCGCTTCAGCTAACATCGCATCCGGACTCCACTTGTAAAATAACAAGTGATGCAGTAATTATTAGCAATTTTTTTAAAAAAAAGTGAAAAATTCGCTGTGCCCATTTAATACATTTTAAGTTTTCATATTTCACGGTACCTTCACATGCTTCTGTGGACAGCAGAATCTTATCGGGATACCTATTCTGTATATTTGTCAGGAGTTGTGCGGGAGCAAAGTTACCGTAGTAATGTATCGCTATGCCGTCTATGTAATCAAACGCCTTAGGTTCTGCCCTCTCCATCTGAAACAGTTTCAGGAGTTATTTATTCAGTTAAGAAAATGTCATAATCATCGTTACCTCATTAAATGTCTCCCCTACTACGGAACTACGAATGGGAATGGGAGTTTTTCCCATTCCCACCATAAGAGCGCACGCGAACTCAGAGACATTTGAGAAATAGGTATTAGAAAAAACTATTGCTGTCGCGCATTCTTAAATACCGTAGACTACCTAGACAAGCCCTGAAACAAATCGTGGGTATACTCACGGGTCACGGCTACTTCCACAAACATCTTTATAATATAGGTATTTCTGACAGCCCTCTGTGCAGAGCCTGCCTGGAGGAGGAGGAGACGAGCGCCCATGTACTGCTGGAGTGCAGAGGCGTTGCAAGATAAAGGACTTCTCTAATGGGAAACCCGCGGACACTAGTAGCAGCCTGCAGCAACATCCGGGGACTGCTGAGCTTTCTGGAGGAGCTGGGATTGGTATCCCATATAATCCCCACGCAAAATAAGCACTGGGTGTCGAGTTGCGGAAACAGCCCGCCGTACTACTAAGACTAAGACTCGTAAATACCGTGCGATAGGGACAACAGTAGCTATAATTAATTAATTTAATTGCAAAATTCGAGGTTCGACTCTCGACGATTTCCTCCTCTACAATACAATCCTACAATATCACTGGCGCCCACAGAACACAGTGCTTGCGCCGTTGCCTTCCCTGACCCGATTCTCTTACCCGTGGACCTTACTCACCGGCAGAAACACAACACCATCAAAAGGTAGTGTTATTTTAATGTGGTCTTCTCTAAGGTGGACATTACTTCCCCAGATGGGCGCTTATTTTCTTACCGTCTTACATATGTAGATTCAGACTGAATCTTTTACTTACTCCAATCACGTAGAAATGCAGTAAGTATCGTTGATCGTCCACAGCCAAAATGAGAGTATCATTGAAAGGAGAGTTTCTGATTGTCGGCCCCAGATTGTTTGCGATCCAAGTTGCCTGTAGATCATTTAGAAAATGTAAGTTAGTATCGGCTAGACCGGGCTAAACGGGTATGATAATAATCTTAGGTTCATAGATTGGTGTCAAAATCTCAAAACACAAACCATTCAAAACGTTCTTCATAACGGTACTCTACGGTAGTACCAACCAATATCGAATTCGTATTGTTTGCGAGACCGAAATGTCATTATCAAATGTGTAGGTACTGATTTTTAGTTCTCGTTACGTACTGTTTGGCGCTGCTGTTCAAGTTTTCATACAAAATGAGTCCGAAATGTTATTGTCAAATTTTGTATAAAAACTTGAACAGCAGCGCCCCATAACGTACGAGTTTAACGAGAATAAAAATCAGTACATATTTGACAATGACATTTCGTACTCGCAAACGTTACGAATTCGATATTGGTTCGTGCTAAGGGTACTGTACCCCTTACACGAACCATTATCGAATTCGAATAGTTTGCAAACCGAAATGTCAATGTCAAATTTTGTATGGAAACTTGAACAGCAGCGGCACAAAGTACGTAACGAGAACTTAAAATCAGTACACATTTGACAATGACATTTCGGACTCGCAAACGATACGAATTTGATATTGGTTCGTGCTAAGGGTACTGAACTGAATTCGTCATTAATTTTAATACTTATTAGTTAGTATAGCACTTATGTATAAAAGGGGTAGTTGCGGTCTGAGGCCGAAACACGAATTTTTACAGCTCCGTAACCGTCATCGTCAATTTTTTTTCATGGAAAGTGCCAGTTTGTTCTTACGTCCGGTAGGAGCGCTTCTTAGCTTCCATGGAAGCTTTGATGATGTGCTTAGAATTATTCTAAGATGATGCGATACGTACGATTACGGAGTAAATATTAATAAATAAATTAACCACATACCATTTGACTGTGAATGTATTTCTTTATTTATTAAACGTTTAATCATCTTGGATAAGAGCTCCTGAATAAAAAAATAAGCATCTTACCATTTGCGAAGGCATCCACCCCAACGAGTTGAAAGGGGCAGCTGGCACTATGCCGTTGATGGGTTCGTTGGTCGTCGTTATCGCCCATATTTTTACATTCGCTTTTGCATATTCCTCGATGAAACTACAAATTTGTTCTCAAATGAGTGTATATTATAAAATATGATATGATAGGATCATATGCGGTATTGGCTTGGGCCTAAGAGTTTAAGTAAAATATAGGTGCTGAATTGGACTATTACTTTTCTCACTTAAATAGTAACAGTTTATCAATGAACAGATAAATTAGCAGTGATTGCTATTAAAATTAACTTGTTAGTAGCGTAATCTACCATTATGGAGAGTATATCAAACTTATATAGAAAATACGCTTCTACACAAGAAAACCTATTATAGGCCAACTGTTTATTATATATTATTCTGTTTTCCATTTCCAGACAATGTAAGGGCCAGCAAGAGCCTGCCTAGATGATGAACCTTGTGTCCTGCAGTCCGAAGAATTCCGCAAAGAGAAGGTATGTCAATATTGGTCAGTAGATCAAAGACAGTATGAGTTATTCCTTATACCCTGTTAATATTTAGTTTTCTAGTAGATGGTGAGACAGAGGGTAAAACACTACTATATTATATAAATAAATAAATGTTTCCCACACTCACACCAATTAGCCTAGCCCCAAAGTAAGCAGTGTAAGGCTTGTGTTATGGGGTACTGGGGTAACGGATAGAATACATATACTGTACATATATAAGTATATTTTTATATAGTAATACATATTAAACATCCATGACTGGAGTACAAATGCTCGTATTCATCACACAAACATCTGCCCCCACCAGGATTCGAACCCGGGACCTCTCGAGTCGGCGACACCATGAAATCCGGCGTACAAACCACTCGGCCACGGAGGTCGATATAGAGTAGGATAGGTGTGTAATAGATATTCTTAGCAAAAAAGATCACCATTTTATGAAGACTTTGAACTAACCGTAAATGGTAGTCTGCGTAAGACTGGTAGAATTCTCTCTTTACTTGACCGAAACCTGTGATCCTTTCATTGGTTTTCATCCATATGGGCGGTGACCAGCAGCTGGCTGTTATCTTAACTTCGTGGTTGGCGGCGTGTAAACTTCTTCTGATCATAGGCAGCTAAAATCATGAAATAAAATTCTTCTATAATGCGATTCAAATAAGAATAGGAAAGCCTCCATCTGTCAAATGTCACATGAAAAGTACAGATTGCAAAAAATCTCGGAACACTTTTTTAGCACTCAGCTAATTCTAGATTAAAAACCAATCATTTTGAAACAAACAATAACAAATACTGATAATTAAAATTGGTCGATATTTTTTTTCATTTATTGAGCTTTGACTATGGATGGTTGGTAACCTAAATCGTCAACCAAATGTCACTTTAAGTTGCGTTCAGAAACTCGATTTTAAACTTTCGTTTACTTATAGGATGCAGGTTCGTATGTGACCCGCATGATTATTCATAACTACTCCGGCGGTAATGCAGAGATGAGCGGAATTGAAGAGCTAGTTCCTGATTAATGTTTTTTCTCACACAGTCTTAATAAAGAAATATTATTAAAATCGGTTGTTTTGTTTTTCAATCTTAGTAAATTAATTTTATTAAAAAATCTGATGTTTTTTCTTACTTAATCTTAGTAAATAAGTTTTATTAATAATAAACTTTTTTTTGCTCACTCTACCTATTTGGTTTGAATTGACAGCTATGACTCCTATTCTTAGTTGAATCGCATTATAATTTTGAGAATTCCATCTTTTTTTTCATTGGATTTGATTTTGACTGGAATCGTTTTGCATTTTCCGCTATGGATATTTTTTTCACTGAGAAATTGCTGTTATTAACTAATCTATCCGCTTTGAATTAATAAAAAGTAGACTGTTAATGACTATTCTAGTTCTAAGCCGCAAGCGAAGTTGTGTGGCTAAGACCAGAATAAACCAGCGAGGTCATTTAATGTCCGGCTAGTCGTGCGGTCAAAATGAAATGGACCCCACACTTCTGTCCTTCATTCCGTCCGTTGGGTAAGACTAGACCAAGACATGTGACAATGAACGTGAAAAATAAAATTATTTTCATAAAATATTGTGTAGTTAAAATAGTGCGTGGATGCAGCCAACGACGTGTTTAAATACCTAAATAATATTTAAATTTCTTTCTTTAAAGTTTTCAGAATTAGGGCAACTGAAGAAGGTTTCAACCTACTTTTAGGAAAAGATCTTCGTCGCTGAGCGAGTAGTTTGTAAGAGCGCCGTCATTCCACGGTAGCTCGTTGTAAGTGTACGGGTGCGTTGAGAAGTCTGCTCCGGCTATTGGTACACGGATCATGTTGTATTCCAATCCTTTGGGGCCGAAGTATGTGCTGAAAATTAAATGAAGATGTTTTTACATAACATGTCGACAAATAAGGTTTCATCATAGAGGACCTCCACTAGAGTCACAGAGAGGCCACACACGGACCGTTCGAGCAGTTCATCAGTGATCATTAATACACGGATTGCTCGAGCAGTCAGATTCAACAGCTTGAAGCAGCTGCCATCGATAACTGCTCGAGCGGTCCTTGTCACATACACGTAAATACAAGATTAAAGTTCACTATGCAGTCGCAGCCCGGGTATGGCGGCTCTAACACTGGACTTACGCCTTATTTTGTATAAAACCGAAATCGCCAAAATTTAACTATGTATCATGTTGTTTGGGGGCGTGTCACACGCACGCTTATGCAGTATTACTCCATGAAAGCATGTGCACTTATGTGACCTCTAATGGAGGTGCTTTATGGTTCCAGGTCTTATATCGCTACATACTCTCTACAGTCACCGGGACAAGTAGTAAAATGTAAGAATTGTTTAAAACCTGTGGGTCTACTATCTTTCTCCGAAACGAACTTTCGATAGCGAAGTTAAATCGAAATTTAATTTCGTCAATTTAAGGTTATACTAAAATAAACTATCAAATTGAAGCTTTCTTTCAGTAGGCTTGGAAAATCTACACCTCAATCTATATTCCGACGGCGTATATTATTATAATTAAAAACTATCCAGAAACATAGTTAGAAGACTGCGAAATTTCGTTGTAAATTTCGTTTTTCGTTGAATTAGAGTAGGCCCCCTGACCTGACTTGGTTTTCGATTCACAGCTAATTGAGAAATATGCCCATAACGATATATCATGTGGTACGAATACGGAGCTGTCAAAGTTTGTGCTTGTGCCTTTGCGTTTGCCCGTTAACAAGGGACCTTATTGTAAAAGTCTATCTATATTCCTTGGTGTTATTACTAACTTAATAAATTGCGTTTGTGCCGCATCCGATAGTTTCCGCCAATTGATAGCGGCGGCGTCAGTCACGGAGCCACCGAAGCCTTCGATAGTTTGGTAGCGCGTGTTCGTGAACAGCCTCAGCCTCACGGAGTTCCAAATCGTCGTGTTCTCTTGTCCGTCAAAATCCGATTTTTCGAGCATTTCTTTTGGTGTCGGTTCTTTGTCTGCTTTTGTGCTCTCAGGGTCATTGAGAGCGACTGTCTGTATTTGCCCAAACGATTTCTCAAAACGTTTTCCCGACTGGAAATATAGAAAATAATAATGAAAAACCACTTCAAACTCCGTCTTAATCATAATTTTAATTAACATCGATTCAATCATAATTAATTTCTCTATTGATAAAAGGTACTGTTTGCGGTACTGCGTTGAACTCTAATATATGTAAAAATATGACAAGTCACAGTGAAGTTTGATTTTACTTGCGCATGAAATAAAAGATGTTTTGGCCGTTAATGCGATTGGTAGGTACTTACGTCGCTACTCGTGTAGACTACGTATGTGCCTCTGCTAGGATCTTCGCGGGTAATGGTGTCACAATAATTCGCATCGCAGACGCAGACAATGGACCTGCCTTCTATTCCAAGATTGCGGGCGCGGCATGGTAGATCTTGTTCTGAAAATAAGATCGATAACTTTATTATGAGTGCGTTAAAGTATATGAAGTTAAAGAACTCAATGGGATTTGTAATTGTGGAAGATATAAGCAACTTTCGTTTACGTAGTAACCTTTAAGTAATCTGTGTTTTCGTTATGCCTTTGGTTATCAAGAAATGACAAAAATAATATCCCGAAATCCTCCGTGCTACGGAGAACGGAGAAGGCACGTTCAGTTGATATGGATTGTTCGACCTTCTTGATGAATTATTGTAAAAAAGATTTGAGTGCATTTGACCATAATCGCACCTGATATTGAGCAACGATGTGGTCTAAGCTGGAGCACGCAAACTCAAATGATGCCCATTCACTATTGCCTATTCCTATATAACTTGACTCGGGCAATACAAACGCAGGAAGGGTATTCCATTCTTTAGCGGCTTGCATGATAAAGGAGGATGCGAATCGTGAGGTATTGCTAATGTCTACATCCCTGTAGCGACATTATTAATTTATAATAATAAAGCACAAAACGTGTTATTATAAGTAGCACGTGAAATGTTTTTTTTCAACTTTGTTTTGTTAACAATATTCTGAACAACGCTCGTCTTTACCCCAAGTGTAAGTTGCACCTCGATTGGAATTTACTATCGTGGAAAAATTTATAGAGCCGTCTAGTGGTACGTAAACGAATTTATTTTCTTCATACCAATTTCAACGTAAACGCAAACGCTGTAAAGTTAAATCGAAGCGCAACGCAACTCACACTTAGGGTGTAGATCTTATAGTCATTTCTCCTTCTTTTACTCCTGTTATGTATGTTAACTTACCGGAATTTGTCAGCGATGTTGTGAAGAGCACTGCCGTTAGGACAAATCCCAAACGCAACACCGCCATCTGTGAACTCTATACGGCAGATTGTTTATAATCTTGTTAGTAAATAAGTACAGTTACAAGAGTTGACACAATTTGTAAATGAATATGCGAAGGTCGACTTCTTGTTTGCTTACTAAGGTAAGACATCGTAATTTGGTAGATTTCTAGGATTTTAGACCTTTGATTGAAGTTTAATTTCTAAGGATGAATTACTTTAAGGCTAATAAAGTTAGTTTATATTGACTTGTCTTCCGAAATGCACGATGAGACGTACCTATCTATTGGCTACTCCTAAGAGGAGACCGCTCTTTTCGAAGGTTAGTCACATCTAATATAGCAGATCTAACTTTTTTAACATCAAGTTTAATAGAACATCATGTTAAATGAAATGTATCAACTTTGTGAAGAGTCTTTTTTAGGTAGTTCGTTTTATCAGTTAATCACGTACTAGTATTTACATTTATGTTTCATATATTTTTCATAAATATGCAATATAAATCCAATCTTAAAATGGCAAGATATTTCATGAAACATCGAATGATAAATATACGAAATTAAAAGTCCAATTTTAACAGTTTTTGTATGACAAAACATGAAATGGCCACATAAATGAATCGATATATTTATCTCAAAATTGAGAATTCTAATAAGAATCATAATAATATATAGATTTTTCAGCCAAGGCCGCCATTTTAGACCCCCTGGGGACAGTAGGTAGGTACTTGTTATTCCGCAGAATACTTGGTTGCCCGTTCCAGAAGACAAAATAATGCTTTATGATGATTTGGAAACACAGTAAATATACCTCAACACACAAAACAGAAGAAGATTTCTAATGAAATAAAGGTAATACACTAATTAAAGCTGACTTACCTGCAAATAAGTGGAAGACAACTGAATTATTTCAAGATTAAACATGCTTATGATTTTGGTTTATCAGATAAATTTGATAACAGTAATTATATCAATGTCATACAAATTTTATATACATTGTAATTACTTACTAAAACTATTTTAATTAACCTTTGCTAATCTCTCAGATAAAAAGATGATTAACAAATGAAAATTTACAAACAGATTTTAAATTATAGTACCTAAGTATCGGCATATAATGTTATAACACCCTGTGTTTGGTAGATAGGACTCCTGCCCCCTTGGCATAAGCACTGCGATATGACATAATTATCTTTTATCACGCTCAATTGTCAGATTACTATGGAGTTTGACAGTTAGACCCGATAAAAATACGATAAAAAAACGTGATATAATGTAGATTGTGGTGCTCATGCTACGGAGATTAGTGCAAAGTTTAGCTTCTGTATTGCGGGTGCCTTGTCTATCAAATCATTTGTTTATTGTTGTGTGCCAAATTTTATAAAAGAAATAAACTATTATTGTTATTATAAGTGCAGAAATGAGAGCTTATACCATAATGTTTAAAATGATATAAAATGTTAGGTACCTTTTGAACAATATTTTGGGATAAGATATGGTCTCTATCCCCATCTCTTTACCCTACTTCATAAAAACAAAACCACAAAAATCCATATCCATACTACATAATATTATAAACGCGAAAGTATGTATGTCTGTTACCTGACTTCAAACTTAAACCGAAGAACAGATTCTAATGAAATTTGGTAAAGGGGTTGTCCATTAATCACGTGAGGCTCGAAATGAGGGGTGGGGAGGGGTCCATAAAAATCACAACGGGGAGGGTGGTGTAGTACTATATCACGTGTATTTCCGTGGTCCGAGGATAATGTACATTAAATAATGTTCATGTATTAGTTTTTCGGTTTCTTTTATTATAGGTATTTTTGTCAGTCAAAAACAACCTGCAACCTTTCTGTCTACCTCTAAACGTTATTAGTCTTTAATTTTCCGTAATAAAGTTAGATGTCGTTATATGGGGTAGTCTTTAACCTCACCATGTATCACCAAGGGGGAGGGGGGGTTAAAAATGGCAAAAAAAACATCACTTGATTAATGGACGGCCCTTTATTTCGCGGTGCTCATGCTAGGGGGGCTGATATGATTATTTATGATACTACTTTGATAGTTTTTGATATGATTGATAAAGCGATAAGGGCCGGTAAAATTATAGCCCTACTTAAAGGTTTTTCGCAAGCTTACGTGTCTCAGCTGCTAAATGTGAGTGGTTCAACTGTCAAGAGGACTTGGCAACGGTATCAAGAGACCGGTTCGGTAAAAAGAAGAACCGGTTCGAGAAGAAAAGTATGCACAGAACCAAGAAATGGCCGCTTTTTGGTGAGTCAGACGTTGCGGAATCGTAAGGCGTCAAGTGTGAACCTCGAGAAGTGCCTTAAAGAAGTAAGAGGGGTAGAAGTTAGCTTGTGGATGGTCAGGATGGGACTTTTGTCTGGCAATATTAGGAGTTACCGTCAGGTCCGGGCCCTAAATTACTCCGTGAGTTACTCGACTTCAGTTTGTTCAAAATTGTGGTTCATTGACTCTGGAAGATTTGGAATAAAGTATTGTTTTCTGATTAAGCTATAATCTCTTTGTGTGGAGAGGACCGACGGACGCCGGCGAGTACTCTTGTGAAACTATAGGAACATATACACAGGAAAAGCCATTTGTCGAAAACCCTCAAAAGATTGCTAAAAGTTTTTGGCCATGAAAGGGTTTTAAAATTCAATTAGTGAAAGTTACGCTGCACTGGACATACCTATGTCTGAAGGTGGCAGGAGCGATTACAGGAGTGGATATTTTTAAATATAACCGTACTTTTAATATACTAAAAATATTGTTCTAAGCGTCAGGTTCCAACAAGCTGAAGAATATGTGTAAACAAAAAAATTAAAGAATGTACAGTAAAAAAAACTAGTTAATCAAGTGGTACAGGCTTATCTCGCAATTGATATCAGGTATCTGTTTGACATTGTTTAATAAAAAAAAGAAACGGCCGTTGAACCACGTTGAACGTTTAATCGAGATACATTGGTTGGTGTTATGATAAAAGGCAGGATTTAAAAAATAAGATACACATCGATTTAAGAAGACAATATAATTAAATTTTCATACAAATCTTTAACGTAATATTATCTTTAAAATACTGTACAGTGTCGGCTAGTTTTGTAGGGAATCATTTGCTATGAAAACAAAATATATCTATGATTAATTTAAAATTGCAAAGTTTGAAAAATATTGCGTCGAGGATAACGGCAAATAAGCAAATGATTGTCTCCAATTCCGCCGACTAAATCTTTAATATTTTCATTTTGATATGGCAGATTGTCGATATGAAAGACTTTTTATACAAGCAAAAATCGCTTAAAGTACTAAAAACTGAAAGAAATGCACTAAAGTATTATTTACACGACACGACCTTGATATTATTGCATATGCTGTTGATATTTTTTTTACAATTCCTCGATAAACTATACTAGCAAAAGAGTCGAAACTAATATTGAGTTAATCTCATTTGAGTACATAATAATAAAAGTCTTAAAATCACAACAAAGCAGATCTCTTTTGCTTGTTTTTACAATGAACGAACACTTTGTCGTATTGTCAACAATACGTACACCCCCAAGTGGGAGAGTTACGTTTAAAAAAAGGGTTAAAAGTGTAATCAGAAGATTTGACTACTTACTCGATGTTAAAATATGAAAAAAATCGAATAGAATCGAATAGATGATTTTTCTATAAAACACTACAATTTGTCGATTGGTCCATAATAAGACTTTTTCAATTAACGTAGTCAAATCCGCTGGTACATTATAAATTAAGTTCAATCGCTTAAGTACTAGGTACGTGACAACATTATCTACGATTTCTGAACGACCATCGCCATAAAACAAAAAACTTAAAGCTATTCACTTTACATTTACCTAATATAACTCTATCAAATAAATACAAAAAAAATCTCTTATTTTATTATCTAAGATAATATTTTCCTACCTCATGTCTTGAAACTAAATACTATTTAATGCACGTAAACTTAACACTGTTTAAAATAATGTGCGCTCGGGACGCACAGACGGGAGGACCCTTATTAATATTTGACTAAAAGAGAGATCAAATCATTGCCACGTTAACTTATTGTATAAACAGGTAGCCATAGCCGGCAGGCCATCGAGTACATCGCCGCACTCGTTTGTACTTTGAAACGTGAAAGAAAATCGGCCGCCGTAGAGAAGGATGAAACACATCAGAATGGAAATTTTTACGCTGTGATGGAAGGATAATGGGAATTTATTTTGCATCATAAAATTAACGTCAAGTGGTGTACCTACATATCTGCCAATTTGTTCCGCCTTTTACTCCTATTATATGTACTTATATATAAATAATGATAATATATTTAGATAAAGTTTAATATAAACATACATAGAAATCACGATAGTATATTCGCAGATGGCAAGAATTGAACCCCATAAAGGGTTACTAAACATAAGACTTGCTAAAGGAACTTAATGATTTGAAATCAATCAATATAGTTTTAGAGTACCTATGTAAAGGAATTTTATTAAGATTTAAAGGTAACAAGAAAAATCAGTTTCGTCTTTTGATAAAAACTCATTAAGATTTAAACGAATAATAAGAAATTCATTTCTGTAGCCCTGTGTAAATTAAGGTTTTTTTTAATTGGGCTTTTGTTTAAACTTAAAGGAAAGAGATCTTAAGTTTTCGATTTTTGGACGGAAGAAGAAACTATAGGTGTAGTCCAGCCATTTAATAAGAATAAAAATATTGAGAAATGTCTTAACAGGCAGGAGTAATTTCAGCAAATATACATTTTGACATATTTTTATTTGTAATTTCTTTTGTTAATGTTTGCTGCTGATAAAAACAAATATTGTGGCTAATATGTAGTTTCCACAGCCGTTATATCAAACTGCTTTCGGATTTCTTACTGCTACTAAGCTAAGCGAGGTGAATAAAGTGTTATCGAACGTCAATATTTGCAGTATTAAAAAAAGGAATTAAAAATAAATAAGAAACAGCTGCCATCGAAGAATATTATGGTTAATAACGAAATTAAACAATGCACAGTAAATATATACTTATTAGTGTTTTATCGTACTCCTATTTGTGTCGTTTAGGTACATTTCTAACATACCTACCTCTAACCTGGCAAACCATGTGAACACATGAACATTTTAACATAGGTACACATTAGGTATTTTTATATACACATAGATACAACGGTCGTGAATCATCTTATTCATTGTGGCAAAGACTGCTATACCTGGCAAATTATACATGCGTACCTTAGTTTCTTATAGCTAACTGAGGCATTGGAAAAATAATTAAGCACATATTATAGATTCAATTAATACAGCCAAATTAAAGGGAATCATAATAATATACGAAGCACTTTAGCTATGATTACCACGAGGTAAGGTATAAATTATTTTTCTGAAGTTGGGTAAAGAGAGGGACAGTATAATAAGGGGTACGGTGTAACATAAAGAAATATCTCCGACCTGTTCTTTATTGTCTATGTCTGTCTTGAGGTGTTTTATTAGTTTCATATGCCGCCATATTAAGCAACTGTAATCAGACGTCAATTGGCCGCATAGAGCAACCATAGAATAATATATATGAGCAACGCGGCACACACAAAACCCAAAATTCATATTATTTTGTTAAAATTCAATCATCGGACTTGTTTGACAAAACAATCGACTAGCCAGTGCAAATTTCAAACCTGTCAATAAAAATCTTAAGTTTGGTCTATGCCCGATTTAGCGCTGTCGTTTTTTTAGTGTGAGTGTTGTAATTACAATTTCGTTTTTGCGAAAGTATGTTGGACTGCATTTGTGTGCATAACAACCCCCCGAAAAAAGAGGCAAAATGATTTCAGTAGTATAATTTCATTATGGCTACTTCCCTCCTAGCCGTGCCGGCTGTGTTGCTCTATGATTGGCCAGGTATAATATAAATACAAAGATATTCCTATTTTATGTTACACTGTACTACACTTGATCCTATTATCTTCAATTAAAAATCAAAACACTTCAAAATGCGGCATTAGAAATCAATCCGGCTCAATTATAGTTTACAATTTAAGTGATTGTAAATTATGTGGAACGCAGCAACTGATACTTACATTTTAATACCACGAGCCATTATTTACCATTGATTGTTTTTAACGAGAGATATCTTATCAAATCTACACTTATAAACTCTACGCATGATTCAAGGTACCCTACACTAATACTTTAACCTTTTCACTGCTATCAACATAAGTTATAAGTATTTAGATTTAATTATATCATAACCAGTGAAAAGGTTAAACCGCTCAAGTAATTTATGTTAATGTAACATAATTATAGAGGCACTGTGTGTATTCAATTCTATATTTTTCTTATTACACATTATTTTACACAATTATATACCGAAAAGAATTTCAGCGTTATAAGACTTATGTAAAATATAAAATTGTAACTCTTATTTATTTTTGATTTTTGGAAGTTCTGAATGAAATAGTGTCCGGATGTCCGAAATATATTTACAAAAGGAAATCGGTGTGGTTTCTACACGTACTGAGAAATTGTTTTAAATTATATTAGAGATATTCAAAATTGAGCTATACAATAAACATTCAGTTATAAAAATACTTGTAGCGTAATTTTCAGATCACAATTTGCTATGTTAGGTTCACATCATTTTTAAATAATAACGTTATCTCCTTCTAATACCAGGTGATAGATAGTGCTAAATAGAAATCGTGGACATTGGTTTTGTCGACATCGGAAGACCTAGCTACATCGGCTTCGTGACCCTTTGTTTTGTAATAGTTTAACTCATACAAACTGAGAAATAAATACGCTTCTTTAATTAAAAACATTCTTTATATAGCTCTGAGAGTTCAAGATCCTTGTTTCAAAAATAAGTTAGCTATCGCTACTTTTGGGTGAAAATTGTTTACGCTCAGTTTTGTAGAAATTTCACAGTTTTGTTTTCTCACTGAATCTGAAGAAGTCTGAAGTTGCCGAGAGTGCACGAGCACGAGTAACGTTTTTAACGAAGCACACAAACGCTGATTGTAACAGACGCGGGTATTATTGTTCGTATTTTAGTGTGTTTGTGTGTTTTCAGTCTTTAACGAGCCTGTAGATGTGGTGCTGAGCTCCGTGCTCGCTGTTCGACACCTCGAATACGAACGCGGCGCACAACAACGTCTCCTGAGTGTCCCTGTTAGATACCACCTGTGGACAAAACGTTGAATAGGGTTAATCGTCGTCATGACGAACTCCGTGGTCGAGTGGTTTGTACGCCGGGTTTCGTGGTGTCGCCGATTCGAGAGGTCCCGGGTACTAATCCCGGTGGGGGCAGATGTTTGTATGATGAATACGAGCATTTGTACTCTAGTCATGGATTTTAATAATGTATTTCTATATAAATATACTTATATATGTACAGTATATGTGTTCTATCCGTTACCCTAGTATTCCATAACACAAGCATTACAGTGCTTACTTTGGGGCTAGGCTAATTGGTGTGAGTGTTAGAAATATTTATTTTATTTATCATCAGGTATTCCCTATTGAGGCTATGACCTACCACGCATGCTTAGTTCGGGTTGGTGGGTGCTAGCGACTGCAGATGCAGACGGGACCAGTGCTTAAAAGTGCCATCCGAAGCACAAGATAATAATTTTTTGATCACCCATCCAATGCCCAACCATTGGGAAAAATGCTTAATTTTCACGATCGCAGGCCACACGCGCTAACCACCTGCTTCATCGAGCTCCTCTATTGCCATAAATATAAGAAGTCAAGGCTGTATGAATTAAGTTTCTATTATATTCCTAAATTAAACCCAAAAACCTGGAGCTCTCCCCACTCTCGAACCGCGCGTACTCAGTCTACACCTTCTATTGCACCTGCTTGTGCTCGCTGACCAATCTACGACACCCGCCTGCAGTATGGTTCTCTAGCACGCTGTTCATCATGCACTTCTCGGGCCAGTGCTTCAGCTTGGGTATGAAGTTAACCGTACGATGGATACGTATACGTGGATGCGTACTACGTCTGCACCTGTTTGTGATCCCTGACCATTCTACGACACTCACCTGCAGTATGGTAAAGTTCTCGAGTACGCTGTTCATCATGTTCTTCTCGGGCAAGTGCTTCAGCTTGGGTATGAAGTTGACCATGTACTCGCGCAGTGGAAGCGGTCGCCCTCGAACCGCGCATACTCCGTCTGCACCTTCTATTGCACCTGCTTGTGATCGCTGACTATTCTACGACACCCACCTGCAGTATGGTGAAGTTCTCGAGCACGCTGTTCATCATGCACTTCTCTGGCAAGTGCTTCAGCTTGTGTATGAAGTTGACCATGTACTAACCCGGAGGATGCTTTACACGGAACGGCCGCTCTCGAATCGCGTGTACTCCGTTTGCACATTCTATACTACCTACCTGTGATCGCTGACCATTCTACGACACTCACCTGCAGTATTGTAAAGATCTCGAGCACGCTGCTCATCATGTACATCTCGGGCAAGAGCTTCAGCTTGTGTATGAAGTTAACCATGTACTCGCGCAGTGGATGCGTACTACGTCTGCACCTGTTTGTGATCGCTGACCATTCTACGACACTCACCTGCAGTATGGTAAAGTTCTCGAGCACGCTGTTCATCATGTTCTTCTCGGGCAAGTGCTTCAGCTTGGGTATGAAGTTGACCATGTACTCGCGCAGTGGAAGCGGTCGCCCTCGAACCGCGCATACTCCGTCTGCAACTTCTATTGCACCTGCTTGTGATCGCTGACTATTCTACGACACTCACCTGCAGTATGGTAAAGATCTCGAGCACGCTGTTCATCATGCACTTCTCTGGCAAGCGCTTCAGCTTGTGTATGAAGTTGACATGTACTAACCCGGAGGATGCTTTACACGGAACGGCCGCTCTCGAACCGCGCATACTCCCTCTGCACCTTCTATTGCACCTGCTTGTGATCGCTGAATATTCTACGACACCCACCTGCAGTATGGTGAAGTTCTCGAGCACGCTGTTCATCATGCACTTCTCTGGCAAGTGCTTCAGCTTGTGTATGAAGTTGACCATGTACTAACCCGGAGGATGCTTTACACGGAACGGCCGCTCTCGAATCGCGTGTACTCCGTCTGCACCTTCTATTGCACCTGCTTGTGATCGCTGACTATTCTACGACACTTACCTGCAGTATGGTGAAGTTCTCCAGCACGCTGTTCATCATGTACTTCTCGGGCAAGTGCTTCAGCTTGTGTATGAAGTTGACCATGTACTCGCACATGGGCGAGCGGTGGATGCGATACACGAAGCGGCCGCTCTCGAACCGCGCGTACTCCGTCTCCACCTTCTCTACGACTTGTTTGCCGAACGAGCACACCTTCGTGCTGCACGTTATCGTCATGTTCTCGTTGCTTTCGTATCTGTCACAAACGAGACGAATATACAATCATAATTTTATTGTAGTAGGTTCATTTACAGTCGGAAGAAATCGGAAGATGGCGGGAGTAGTGACAGAAGTGAATTATTAATTAGACTTCGAATTTATCAAATATCGAACAATGCATCTGGAGTTTTTTATCGCGCCTAACTGTCAAACTCCATAGTAATTAGTCAATTGAGCGTAATAAAAACGAGCTATATATCATATCGCGGTGCTCATGCTAGGGGGGCTGATCAGTGATAAAGATAAAATTGTATCGCAAATGTAGTTCATAGGCAAGTCGGGAAGTAGTTGTAGCAAAAAGTGTGTAACTAATTCACTTATGAGATTCGAGCATTTGGATTTGGAAATGTTTACAATTCCTGATTTCAGATCAGTGATATTAGGTATGATTAATTTAGAATTAATCATATCAATGACATTAATTCCTATAAATAATCCACGTAACTCATATCCAGCATCATTTTCAGCATCAGATGCCATGAGGTAGTTTAGTAAAAAAATAGACGCGAAGAAACCATCATTTTCACGAGTTAATATCGCAAGGTAGGAAGCAAATATCTGTGTCACTTCGAGCCGAGACATAAAAAGATACACAGAGAATTGTTTTATGTTCAAAGGAGAATAACCATTATGGTACTGATCTTGTACAAACATAAAATTTCGATATTATGTATATGAAGCATTAAAAAGTAAGTAATATAATAATAAGATGAAAAGTATTTTTTAGCTAGTGGTGAAACTCAAAAAATAGTATAAAACCATTAACGTAAAAAGGGACGTAGCGTTTAGCATATAAAGGAACATACACAGTTTGCTATTATATTCGAAACAATCGATTCAACTAATAATTATTTAAATGTTTATTGAAGTATTGTTTAAATTACTCAAATAACTAATGTTTAAACGTGAGTAAATTGTAAGAAAAAAATCTCGTAAAAATTGTTGTTTTTTAACTTAAAATCTCTGACAAAATATTATATTATTAATAAAATATAACGGTGCGTTTAGCCGACAAAAAAGCTAAGCAGCATAAAACGAAAAAAGGCTATTTATAAGTAGCACTGGAAAAAAAATGTTATAATTGTTAATTCTTCTTGGCAAATGAAATTGTCATTTCGCTTGCGATGCGAATATTTTTTGTTTTTTTTTCTACCGATGCTTTCTTTGATTTTGTGATTTGTGATATTTTTCTACGATTTCGTTATAGACGACTAGATTTTCGATAAAAGACGCCACTGATTTCAGCTTGTTTTATGATCTCTGTTACTAACAATGGTGTGACTACCTACGTTCATCTTAATAAATTGATGGTTAATATCACAATACTATAAAGTGACTGTATTATTATATTGATTATAAATTAAACATTAAAACAGTGAAGGTAGGTTTTGTTAATGAATATCTCTTTAACTTGCAGATATTGAGAGTGGCAAGAGAGTATGGAATTTCGTGTGTACGGGTTGTCATCAGTTTATCTCACAAACAACGTAGATATTATGCTTACATTTTTAAACGATATACTTTAGAGAGAAAACATAAAAAAGGAATAAATAAATGAAGGAAGTAATTTAAGTAATGATGTTTATTTTATTGGCCCTCAGCATATTTTATAACAATTTTTGATAAATTATTATTAAGAATATAAACAGCTTCATTTTGTTGACTAAATGTAGATCTGGTCAACCATCTTGATGTAGATTGTAGGTATATGTGTCAGCATAATAGCTTGCTTGCTTATATTGAATATTTTTGACTGCTATGTCTTTGTAGACATTTAGTTGTTCCAAATTAGTTATAAAATTGTGTTTTTTATGTAGATTACACCAGGAAAACCCTTTATAAACTTAAAATATTTTTTATTTTTAATTATTATCAAATCGCAATATCTCATTAATCCAACTAGCTATCGAATTCAATTAAAGACTGGCAGTATACATTAATAATAAGCTTTTCAATGGTATATAATTTGCTCATGTACAAATAACTTTGTATCTGTACCAAACCCCCATATAAAGTGGTTATTCTCCTTTAATTAGCCGAGTTAACGAAAATTCACATGTACATCTCTGTTTTACTTAACCCAATAATTGACCCATAGATATATGGGTATGGGTTTATGCATCAGTTGTAAATTAACCTTGCAATATTTATAGCTATACCAAATCAGTAGGTAGTAACGAATAAGAGTTTTTGTGAATTTTAAAGATATCTGGCTGAGATTCTTTAAAAGATACTTACACACTAGTGACCCCATAGAAAGCACCGGGGTCGTCCAGGTTGTTTGTGTTGAGGTCCGCCCAGAACTTCACCAAGAAGAACGCATTCCTAGGACCTTTCTCGTACAGCTCTTTGAGCCCTCCTTTCTTCTCAGGGAACTTATCGTTTATTTGTTGTACGTCTACCGACTGTGAACAAACCCAACACATCACTGTTAGTGAATTAATCAATGTAATTGATAAATATAAGACTGTAATAAATCTGAGACTTTAATACTAAAATCGATAATATAATCAATGTATCGTGGTCTTCCTCGTGTCAAGTATTACTGTACGACATAATAGTTATTTATTATACAAGAGTGGAAAGTTCCTTTTTAACCGCGTGCTCGATTTGGATGACCGAGCAAGCGAAGGATTCTAAAGTTGAATCACGAGCGCAGCGAGTGATTCTAAATTAGAATCCTGAGCGTCAGCGAGGGAAACAAACGAGCACAAGGTGAAAAATCTTTCCACTCGAGTGCAATACGTAACTTTTCATCCCACCTCAGCGAGGAAATGACAAAATGAAAAAGAAAACAATTTATAATGACAAAATATTTAAGCAATAAAACGTGAAAAACTAGAATGGCGCGAAGCACGCAAATAAAACAAAGAAACCAAGAAGGTTCCAAATTTAAATTTTTTCACAATTTAAAAAGTTCTAATCATAAATTTGGCACCATAGAGGTTACATTAAATAGGTTTAATGACGTTTTGAATTTACAATTATATTGAGTACTCATTATATGTGATGTTCTAAATTCAAATCTACTTTGCCGCTCAAGCGAATAAAATAGAATTTTCCAGCCAGATTTCGAAGCGCAAAATTACACTTTCCGAGGTGGTGGGATGAAAAATTAATTATTCACAATAGAAAGTCAACTTTATGAGTATGGGCGCCGTTCTATTTCGGTAGTTCGAGTATTTTTAACTTTACCTAGTTGATTTAATAATTCTAATGCATCACACCAAAATTCAGTCACGATTCCCTGTGTCTTAAAATCAGTATTTTACGTAACTACCTACAGGTTTTATGATGACTTTAAATCAGAATGTTTTCGTACTAGATTAACAATGTTAATAAGAAGTTCACTACTCTTTGATTTCGTGCATTTAACTTTTCTTTTCATAAATAATCGATAGAAGACACTTTAGGTACAATTTTTTTAGCTGGTAACAATCAAAACTTACCTCTAGTAACGGATCGGCGTATGTGACGGTACCACCTATATGTACGAATAAATGTTGCGCCGGTGCAGCACTCGGTGGATACTGTGAACAATAATAAATATTCGACTTCATTCAGGGAACCTTTTAAAGTAAAATCAATTTTTTTTTATTGTAGCTTTTGGAGCTTGGGTCAAATGCACGTGCCAACATTAGAATTATTCAAATAATTTGGCGAAAAGTGACTGTGGCGGCTATGTCCTAATCTGTGGCCTCGGTTTCATTATAAAACGTCTCGGGATATAATTCATAATGAAATTTATAGAATACTAGCTGACCCAGCGAACTTCGTACCGCCCTAAAAAAATAGGGGTTCCCCCCCCTCAGATCCCCTTGAACACACACAAAAAATTTCATCAAAATCGGTCCAGTCGTTTAAGAGAAGTTGAGTGACATACACACTCACAGAAGAATTATATATATAAAGATATAGATAATTCATTTTTCTCTTTGCAAATGGAGGTAAGTATACTTGTGTTTTTTAAAAATATGATAGTTTATTAGAATTCTTATGGCAAAGTGCGCCTGTTTAAATGGATTAAAACCCGTTTAATTGATAATGAACGTCTGACAAAAATTAAAAGCTACTGTAAAGGCTTTAAAGATGATAATGTAACAGTTAACACTTCTGGTAAAATGGAATAAATACAATGATAAAATTTTATGAAATTGCTTAGTCATCCCGCAATGTGTAGTTTTTTTTTTCAGAGTAGGTACTGTTTCGACGTATTTAAAGATCAAGGTTTACTTTCGCTATCATCGTGCACGTATTATTTAAGCGCAGTACCTGTTGAAATACTTATTAAAGGTCATAATACATCTTCCAACCGATAAAATATAAGGAAAAGTTACTTTGCCTGATAGGGCACATCTAGCTCTGTTCTTTAATCTTGTAAGGCGTTTTTTCAACAAAATAACAGTAAGAACATTATTCTGATTTTTCATAACTAATATTAAATATAAGGTTTTTAATGAGGATGCTTTTGCCGATTTTGATGATTGATAAGTGTGTACTGTTAATATGCGTATGTAAAATACACCATAGCAGAGATTTTTAAAACGGGTTCACGTACCCCGGGGGTTCTTAAAATTTGAACCAGGGTGGCCCGTAGACCGAGAACTGAGCTACAGTTCACCCTTAACATCTTTGACAGAGTTACGTAGAATTTAAGAAATATGATAGTGATCCGTGACTAAAAAGTGTAAAAAAACACAGCATGTGAAGTGTTTCATCGTGTCCGGGTCCCGCGAGTGCTCCACGAAGGCGAAGAATTCGACGAGCCGCCGCTTTTGCGTAGCGATGGCGCGGCCCTCCCACGGCGAGTCCTACTGCCTGCGGCGCGTGTCATTATAGTGTCTCACCGTGTCAGGGCTCCGCGAGTGCTCCACAAAGGCGGAGACTCGACGAGCCGCAGCTTGTGCATGACGATGGCGCGGTTCTCCCACGGCTGGTCCTTGTGGTCGCGGCGCTGGTCATTATAGTGTCTCACCGTGTCAGGGCTCCGCGAGTGCTCCACAAAGGCAGAGACTCGACGAGCCGCAGCTTGTGCATGGCGATGGCGCGGTTCTCCCACGGCTGGTCCTTGTGGTCGCGGCGCTGGTCATTATAGTGTCTCACCGTGTCAGGGCTCCGCGAGTGCTCCACAAAGGCAGAGACTCGACGAGCCGCAGCTTGTGCATGGCGATGGCGCGGTTCTCCCACGGCTGGTCCTTGTGGTCGCGGCGCTGGTCATTATAGTGCCTCACCGTGTCCGGGTCCCGCGGGTGCTCTACGAAGGCGGAGAACTCGACGAGCCGCAGCTTGTACGTGGCGATGGCGCGGCCCTCCCACGGTGGGTCCTTGTGGCTGCGGTGTGTGTCATTATAGTGTCTTACCGTGTTCGGTTCCCGCGGATGTTCCACGAAGGTGGGGAACTCAACGAGCCGCAGCTTGTGCGTGGCGATGGCGCGGTCGTCCCATGGGGCGTCCTTGTGGTCGCGGCGCGTGTCATTATAGTGTCTTACCGTGTCCGGGTCCCGCGGGTACTCCACAAAGGCGGAGAACTCAACGAGCCGCAGCTTGTGCGTGCCGAAGACGCAGTCGTCCCATGGGGCGTCCTGGTGGTCGCGGTGCGTGTCATTATAGTGCCTCACCGTGTCCGGTTCCCGCGGGTGTTCCACGAAGGCCGGGAACTCAACGAGCCGCAGCTTGTGCGTGGCGATGGCGCGACCCTCCCATGGGGCGTCCTTGTGGTCGCAGCGCTTATCATTATAGTGCCTCACCGTGTCCGGGTCCCGCGGGTGTTCCACGAAGGCGGAGAACTCGACGAGCCGCAGCTTGTGCGTGGCGATGGCGCGGCCCTCCCACGGTGGCGGCGGCGCCACGTCCGCGCCCCCCACGCCACCGACGCCACCTACGCCACCCACGCCGACACCAACGCCTTTGTACCCCGCGCCAGGGAACGGCTTCACACTGCACATAATGCAGTCAAGGACACTGTAAAGCTGCGTACTGAGAGCACCATGGGTACGCGTAGTCGGTTACGTACGCGTGTCTTGGAATGGAATGTTCATACTCAAAGCTACGCGTAGAGGGTATTTATTTTATTTAATCTTTTGCCACAAGTACAAAAGAAGACAAACGGCGTTACCTAACATTAAAAGTATTAATTCTTATATATTCTCTGCCAGTAAAACTTGAGGCACAAATAAATTCACTAATGCAGCTAAAAAAAGTGATGACACAATAAAAACTAACACTAATAAAAAAACAACATTAGGATTAGGGTAAGCGTAGGTACAAGTAATTATATATGGCGCTCCAGGACATGCGTAACCGACTACGCGTACCAATGTACTCAGAGTCTGTGCGCAGCTTTATAAGCTTACAGTACCATTGGCAGGCTGCTGGCACATAGGTCACAAACTAGGCCTCGCACGAGGGCACCCGTTGTGCCAAGCCTAATAGGTAGTAATACTGCATAAACGTGTGACTCGTCCCCAAACATTGCGATACAACTTTAAAACCGATTTGATTTCCGTCAGGGCGTGGATACTCCTCCGCGCACGACTTCAACATTTTCGATTTAAAAACATAAATTGAGTAATGAGGACTTTAGTGGGCGTGCTTTGCGACTCTGTGACTGCTGGTTTACTGGAGGAGCTGGGGTGAAAGCACTGATGCCATTCCGAACGACAAATCTACAATAAGACGCGCCAATAAAGAAATGATAATGCATAATGGGTCGTATTACGAACTCCTTACGTCAGGAAAAAAACAGGTGATAACGCGGATATGTAATACTCGCTCTAACAGAACTTCCTGGCATTAAGAGTTTCTAATATCTCTATCGCACATTATTCCTTACAGGGACAAAAACGTCTGGCGTCATTATATTCGACTCCTTTCTTTATTGATGCGAGTTTTATCATACCCTATTTACGGAATCTAGTAAGTACGCATGGCCAGTACCGAAGTTTGTATTATTGACCGGAGCACCAGCGCTAAAGGCTGTGTTGTCATAACTCCAGCTAAAGGCAGCCCGCTTTTTTATATGACGTAGTTTTGTATTGTAAGCGATAGAGTAATAATGATAAAGAAAGCGCTCTACTAACTCGCCAAATCTCCTGGGTTCAAGTTCACGTTTGAAATACAAACACGCTTGTGTTTTTTCTTGCGTCTTCTCACTTAGCGCTCAAAACAATTCTGAGCGAGGAAACACCGCTCTGGTAAAGAGTTCATTCCAAGATTTCTTCGAAGGCATCGACGAACGAACACTTACACTTGCTCTGACCTAAATGGAATCATTTACCGAGCGAAAAAATGAATGTTTGCTTGTTCAGAACTGCTCTGACTTTAAATTGGAAACGCAGCTTAGACAGCGAAGTTACACTGCTTCACAGGGAATGGGATGGGAAAGACAGCAAATTTTGATTACTATCGTGAATTGAACAGAAAACATTTCAAACATTGACGACGAAGTTTAGTATCTATGAATATGATGTTGCAGTTGGTTATAAGTGCATCATATATTATTAGCGCACAATAGGTTTTAAGAAAATACTAATAACGCATGTTCAATTAATGACCAGGGGGCCATTCGCCTAACGGAAATGCTTTGGAAAATGCTAACGCTTTCGATTTTATTTTGTTATTTCTGACCGCCGAAGGTTTTCAAATACCTCACGCTCATTTTTTTTAATTTTGTTATTACCAAGGCAAAAGAAAAAAAAGAGCGCGAGCCATTTGAAAACCTCAGGCGGCTAGAAATAACAGAATGAAATCGTAAGCGTTAGCGTTTTCCAAAGCATTTCCGTTAGGCGAATAGCCCCCAGTTGTGTAGAGATCATACAAAATCCATTGTCTTTTAGCACATTAACATTATTGAATTAATTCTATCTATGAAAAAATGGCGAAATGTTACTTATGTGATTTTGAAAAAAGCTTTTAAAGTTTTAAAGAAAATAAAACCCATCCAGTATCCCATAACACGAGCCTGACAATGCTTACTTCGGGACTTTACTAACTAAGTAAAGAAAACAACACTTACTCTTGCGATGTCCCTGCTTGTAAGCCGGGCTGCCAAAATTGCTGGAAAGAAGAAAATGCCATATAAAATACATTGGTTTTCATCATCAAATTTTCAACCACTTGTAACAAAAAGCACATTTTGTTATTGGCTCAGTTAATGTGAGTACAGAGTACAGACACACTCGACAATACCAAGCGCTTACTGATTTTAGTTGTTACGTTTTATTTCTGTGTACATTCCTGCTGTTTAATCTTTTCTGTCAGCTTTTTAGAGATCTTCGTTCATAGATTTCATCGTGAACAACAACATGACAAGGAGTTTTATATTTCATCACATTAAAAACCATCATAAATCTCCATAATTTGTTGTAATTTATCGGAATAACAAACTTCATCTTACTTAAAATTTGACAATATAAACAAGAACTAAGTAAATTATTAATAAAGCTATAATTATAGACTGATAAACTACAGAATAATTACTATTCTATTTAATTCCTTTAAGCGCGGGTACATTATTATATGCACCATGAAACATAAATTTGATTCCATAATTGATAATATTATTTTTTATTGTAGTTTACAACACAATATTTCTTTTAAGCTTATGTTTCAAATGTTGTATTGTGATTTACCTAGGCTAGTTGAATTTGTACGATTGACGGAAAATTGTGGAATATCCACTTACGTATCTCTGTTGAACAGATTTTCTTTATAACGATAGTAAGTTGTGAGTGAAGCTAATTAATTGTTAAATTTTAATGAGCATCGGCGACATGCCTTAAGAAGCGGCAATCGACGGACAAGTAACACAGTGGCACAAAATAAACAGCTGAATTATATTTTAGAAGTACTGCTTTGGAAACGAATTTGAACCATTTCTTTACAGATAAATTTCTATTCATGCCTATTTTTTGTGTTATGAATATTTTTACTTTTGACGCAAACACTAGCAATAAAAAAAGAAAAAGCTATTAGCAATTTACAAGAAACATTTAAAATATACAATAAAAGATAAGACTATCGAATGTCAGTTTACTAAAATCTAATATTATCCGGGGAAATTTTACAATCCTTGATATTTCTCAACAATGCGAACTATTTTACTGTTCATTCAGGTTTAGAAAATGTCGTCAGCTAAATGATTTACTGTATTTAGATATAATAAACACAAGTAGAAGTTAAGGCATCCGTTTCCAAGCAATTCTTCCGTATGTTCTATTGCCTCTCCCACACCTGCGCGACGAAGATTCGGATGGCTCTTGTACTAAATGCGTTAAAATTAGCGTTCGAAATTTGAATTAGTTCTGTCGTAATGAATTAGCGGGCTGCGTGTCTATAGACGCTAGCCGATAGCTTGACTGGCGATAATTTGACACGCTAAAAGAGGTTGTGGAAAACGATAAATTTGTATATGCAGCTGAAGGAGCGTACTTTAATTCAAAGTTCAAACGCAAATTTTAGACCATTTAAGTACCAAAGCCACCACATTGTTTTTTTTTAATGTGTATGCTGTTGGTCGCAGTGACCTTTACAACGCCACCCGATTTAGGGACAGCGAGATCATAAGGGGATTTTAAGCCGAGAATTGGCGAGTGCCTCTAGAGGTATTTCAGGCGGATGGCATCTTCCCACGGGGGGAGTCTACTCTCCGTCTGGAGCCTTATGACCACTCGAACCTAGAGGCTTGGACCTCGGCTCTAGTAAGCCGTTGTCGTGGGGGGAGCCACCAGAAGCTTCGTCACGCAGCTGTGGGATATGCATATTAGTGGCATGCCTTCAGCGGTACCGTGTGGTGGTACGCGGGGTGCGGCAGGCCCGCTACGATCTGTGCGCTAGAGAGTGCGCTCATCGACTGCATGGCCTTCTCTTTCATCATCCCCCCGTCCTGTCATTACACGATTCTCAGTCTAATGTGCTCTATGGAAATTTAAGTCTGACGATCGTGACCTACTTATCAATTTTATCATTGTCATCGGCGTGACATCGACGCGGAACATAAATTGGCGTTATTTATATAAATGTAACATATTATGAGGAAAATGTGAATTGGTAAGGTGGTAACTACTGATGCAACTGGGGTTAACAGTTCATAGCGCTTTCTGAACAAAAGAGAGGTTCGAAGCATTTAAATTTAATGACCGGCTTGTACGAAAGTTGATAGAGAACATTTCATTGACAGTATTTATATAAAAGAAAGAGCTCTCGATTTCATAAGATACTTTTAATTTCATTATTCACAAAACCTTTAATTTTAAATGTTTAAACAGAAAGTGCCTAATAGGATCGTTATACACTACATTATTAAAAATCGTTCATACTTCTCCGGTAAATATGTTATCTGATGTCATAAATAAATGAATGTTGTGCACTCACCACTTTGAGTTTGGCCTGTATTTCTCTTAATTTCCGTCTCGCCAACACCTGTATGTGCGATGAAACCTGTTTTCTTGTGCGAGTCTTGCCTGTCCGTAATTTAATATACCTTGCTATTAATTCGTTCCTTCCTGGAAATCAACAAAAATATACACATTAAAAACTCATTTTCCGTTACCCTTTATATCCCTACAACAAAAATGTTCATCTAAATAAATCGGTTAAACTACTATGTAATAAATAACCTTTTAAAGCCACTTTGACCTTTAGAGCATCCCATCGTGTCTACGAAATCGTGATTCAGGCATTTATTATCTTATAAGACAAACTTCCAATGTTGTAACACAAATTTAATAATAGTAATCTAAGTGGCTGGAGATGTTTTCGATTTGTCATTAGGAATCGTGGAATGCTAGCAATAGTTTTAGCTGAAAGTTAATCAAACATTGTCGTAACCGAAAACCGAGAGTAGACAAAAAAAACAAATGTGAGTAATGCAACGTTCGACATAACCCGCGGATGCCGCGCGTGCCTCAACAGACAGAACGCGCACAGTGCAATCCCGACCCAACCCCCTGAACCCGTTATGAAACAATTTTCAAAATATTTTGAATAGCTATTTTCAATCATTGAAACTGCACTCGGTTAGGAATGCGGCATGGATCGCCGAAGTCAATGCCAGCTGCCAATGTTAAACAATTTTCATAGTGAAACAGATAGTCGGATCAAATAAACATTTTCAGTATAGAATTCGATTCATATTTCAGCATGAAAATTCAGTTTTACAATGTGCAGCTCAGCTTATTTTGCTATGATGCAATTTCCACGAAATCACATTTTTGGTGGTAGGTACAAAGTCAAATCACAGATTAGTGTAAAATCAAAAATTACCTACGTTTCTGAAAACTATTATGTAAAATACATTGAGCACCTGTTAGTGTATTAATTCTTGTACGGTACAGAGTCAGACCTGACCAAAGTAAATTGAAATCTCATTGAATTCGGGGAATGCGATGGCGACGAGAGACGGCTGGTGCGAATTTAATTAACCCCTTAGTTGCTTGTTGAGGCGAATATGTACATGTACTCGACTATTTATATCCCTTCGTTTAGTTCTACTAGGTAGTCATAGCTATCATCAATAGTAATCAGACTTATGAGTTAAGTTCGCCGATAAGAAAGTTCTATTCATTTACAAACGAAAAAAAAATATCTGAGAGAGAATTATGATCCTCTGCTATGATATTAAAGTTTAAATTAAAGTGAGAGCCGACTACGAGCTTGCGAAAGAAACTCTTGAAGACTGTTAAGTCAAACATTCTTGAAATTGCTTCGAAATTATGGCACCGTCGTAAACTTTTCACGGCTGGTGTTAAGCTAAAATTAGTGAGTGCGGGGTACTCTAACGAATCGCTGTTAACACGAGTTACTAGAGATAAACACTGCGTTATAGTGCTACTTCCATTTGTGACATCGGCGAATCGGGCATTAAGAGTGCTTTCACCCGAAACATCGTGTGCATCTTCTCTATAAATAGTGCGGTGCAGTGAGGGATCGACTCGAAATGTTTCTATCTACAGTGGATAGAAAAACAAGAGATTATTTATTAGTTCGTTAGTTGGCTAATTTGGTCCACAGTCGCCGCGACGGACGCGACGCGGCCACGCTCTCACGCACTCAGATGATATTGTGCATGCGTTTGCCTCTTATGAATATTTATAATTTTCTTCAACACACAAGAGTAAATGAAAATTAAATACGTTTAATAATTTTTAGTTCCACTTTATTCATAGCTCATTTTATCGGATACTAAATAATGTCAATTGCATCTTTGTCGTCCATTTATCTACGTTATTATGAAATACAAACGGCTTATTTTAAGAAAATAAATATTTGGAAGAGTGTGATGCGTAGACATAATTTATTATTCAACCGAGATGATATTGAAGATCAATCAGAAACACATTAACGTGGAGCTCGAGGAATGACCTCGTTAAGATCAAAATGATTGTTTTCTTTTATTCACTTTTCTGTGCACTTTTAATATTTTTGATAAACAGAAACTATTATTAGACACATTATTTTTAAATACTTGTGTGTGCTAATTAAATAAAATTATCGAATTTGTATGTATAGAGTACAGAGTAGTAAATATGTAGCATAATCTTCCAAGATTTATTATTCAAGTGAATAATAAAAGTAAAATTTGAAAGAGAATTCCAAGGAAACGTTTCAACCTATAACTTTTTGATTCAAAGCATCACCCAATAAAAGAAACATTCAAAGAGTTGTAATGCAGGATTCGTAGGAAATTCACGCTGACCCAAACAGGAGTTATTCGGAGTCCTCGTGGAAAGGGTTGAGTTGCGACGGGTCTAAGGAGGATTTCTTGGGAGACAATCGGGAGTTATGCCTAAGGCGGGCGGGGCGCTAAACAACGGGTGCAGGCCCGCCCCTTCTTTATATTTTCTTACTGCGTTCGCCGCTAGGCGGCGGCCGGGCCCCTTACACGCTCGCTCGCTCACTAATTGCGCATTCTTCGCATAGTTTAGCCCTCCCGGCGTCCCGCGCCTCCACCCCCGGACCACGTGAAGCCGTGCGCCGACGAAACTTTCATACTCCCAGGATATTGAGCGGTTTTGAATGTCTTAACTCACGAACGTGCCAGCAGCCCTCAGCAAGCTTTGTTGGCAAACTGTTCCCGAGTGCACACCGCCGCCGCACCTCGAGCGACTGAGCTTCCGACTCGAACACGTGTCTCATACTACCGCCACTCTATTCAACGCCGATCTAACCAACTAATTGCAGGTTAAGAAGCAATAGATTGGAATAGTTTCTTGGCTACAATAATTGTGTGATAAGCACTTATGAGTTAAGGAGTTTCGTTCTGTTCATTAGCTAGGATTTATTTATGAGTTGTTATTATATTTAGAGACTGTGTACTTTGAGAGCAAAACTAAAAATATGTACTTTGAACGTCAGTACGTTGGTACCTAATACAGTTTTGAAAGACAACTAAATTAACTTCGATACATATTACGTAGAAGATATATTTCATGATAAACACAATGAAATATTTCTATTAAACCAATAGTCTGATCAGATGATGATTAGTTTCGTGTCTACTACCGCAGATTTCTGCGAATCATAAGTGGATACACGAATATTTATAGGTATGTAGAAATACTCGTAAGTTGGTATTACACAGGGGAACAAGTGATATGGAAATACGACACGAACAATCATTATTGCCAATACATATTATTATAATTAAGTGAAGTATTAAATACATAGATGTATCACTAAGATAATAACATTTTTTCGCGTTTGTCTTTTTTTGCGATTATTTTAAAAACGGAATTTCACTACCATGAAGATAATTAAAAAAAACACGAAAGCTTTATATAGCCATTATTTTACATGCATGAGAACAAAAGCTGTAGTCTAAAGTTTCGACTATAGTATAGTTTACACTCATATGTTAACTGAGGCGGGTCACTGTAATTGGAACATTATCTTGGAAGTCGTAATTATTAAAAAGTAACTAAAATTCATCAAAACATTTACTCGTAAAAAAACAACAGAAATCTGTTTCTAATTTCAGTAAAACTCCGCCAAGTAGTGCACGACATAATTGTCCGAGACGTCGATTACTTTGATCTGGACGGATTGAGAATTTCCCGATAACACTTTCAAGATTTACTTTGAGTGACTGCAAAGGTTTTTTTTTCACAACCGACGAGTATACACGAGTTAGTCGGGGCGAGGGCGTGAAACAGCCCTGAATGGACAAGGGTGACGCACTTTTAGAGTGAGATTAAGCTAGAGGACACGTTCTCGAGTAATGTGGTCATATATTGTAGGGAGGACGTGCCTCTTTTATTGTGCTCCCTCCGATATTGGGCCCTCCGCGTTAAGACCGGCCATTTGCTTATTATGATTTTACTGGCCCGCTAGACAATTAAGTCTGGCGGTGGAAATTCATTATTCGAGTCAAGATTAGAAGTATGTGTTTCAATTCTTGTCTATGGACCACGATAATATGTATTATATTATCAGTCTCAATAACAAGACTATTATACTTCTAATGTAAATTTGGAGTGGATAGATTTGTTCCGATTATTTTTAGCTGTTTTAAGTTTTGAATAGGTAAGTACCTTTCATATTAAAAAGTACCTATAGTAATATTTGAATTTCTCGCAGAATTAAAATAAATCCAGGAACCCTCCAGATTAATTATATAAGGGTCGGGAACCTCTAGATTCCCGTGAAGATTTAAAGCAATTAAAACATTGCATTTCTTTCCGTCTATTAAATCACTTAAGGTGGACACATCGCTCGGCGAATTTGTTTAGCAATCCCATTTGGCACCGCGACCGGGCAGTCCTTTAATTAAAGCGGGGTAATGTTGCCGCTTGACGCGACTTAATGTGCGTCCAGTAATAGCTGACTCCACTGTAATTGTTCTACGTCAATTCTAACCCGTACGAGTTCTAACCAACAAAGAAACATATCGTTTAAATGCTCCGCCCTACCCTGCGTGCTTTGAAAGAATTCATTTCTTGTCGCAAAATATTGCTATGATTGATTGTACAAAACATCTTAATAATTGACAACTAGGTCAACGTAAAACCTATAGAACTGAACGTGACAAGTAAACCTAATCAAAATTGCATTGCGTTTGACGTAAGTTTACGATTGTCACCATGGTATTTCTATACACGCAAACGAAATATTAAGTATATACCTACTTAAAGTGCACTTTTTTTGTAGAATGTTATGGCTCAATTACAGTTGCTCGTTAGCCCGAATACAATTTCCAATGGAATTCGGGTAAACGACTAAGTGTAAATGAACGGAGTCGAGTACGCCCGTATTTGGTAAGTTTTCATTTCGTTTACCCCACACCGTCTTCCAGTGCAAATATTGCTTCGGGTGCCCTTATATGGGTTAAAGACCAAGTGTAATCGAGCCATAATTGTCATTCATTGTTTATAAATTTTATCTTTTTTTAAGCTGCTTTGTAAGTAGGATAGACAGGAGTCCAAATAAAGCGAACAAACGGTGTTAATTTTTGTTTCAACGTTTAGATTAATGAACAAGCCATACATCATCAAGAAGAAGGCGCACCGAGAGAGCAGATTTTCCTCGACTGTTAATTTACAGAGGGCAAGAGGTTTATTTTAAGTGGCAATCGTCACGTCGTGTTAACGAGCTTCTTTTACTGTAACGTGAAAAAATTCGCTTTCGCCCCCTGTAACATTGTGCGGAGCTTTCATTTTAATATCACGATTTAATGAATACTTTATACACGGTGATGCTAATTAATTTCAGCCAATGGGAGGTCGCTCAATACACACACTTTCCACGAATTGTAGTGTCGATCGTCACATAATAATTGTCGGTTCACGTCTTTCCTCGGAATCCTATTGCGCAAACAGCTTTGTCGGCTGACATCAATATCTGGCATGGCTTTTGTCTCGTGCCACATCCATTGTTCATTTTAGGCGGCGTGGCCTTGATATCGCTTCATAATTCAGCTAAATTGACATGTAGGTTCGTAATGCTAGCGCATGCGGTTTCAATTGTACAGTGAGATGTGGGTGACCTTTGCCGTCGGCTTTGCACGTAAGCACTCTAGCATGGGCGAAACATTTCGGTTCTTCGAGAAACCTCGAAGAGGCAATCACTAATATTAAAGAACATGGGGGCGTTCCTGACGGAGTTGGGCTGATAAATATGAAGGATATGTGACTTCGGCAACACACCCTCCTCACGCAAAAGTGGCGCCATATGGACGTCGAGTTGCGGGAACGTCAGTTACAAGAAGAAGAAGCACTCTAGCATGTTCGGACTCACCGTACATCTTGCCCTCGTCTGAGAGAATGATCTTGCGTCTGCCGCAAGGGGGATAGATAGCCAGCGCTTCTTGGAAGCTCTGCTCGATATCTGGACTCCATACTCCCTCTGCGTCAGCTGCAGAGAGATCCTGAAAACATATTTTTCCTATTATATTAAAATAAACATACACTCATGTGGTCTACGATTCAAATCGACGTTTAGGGGTTTGAATCTCGCTGGGGTAATGGTTTATCTGATGACCAATAGCATATTTTCTATTATTTAGTTAAGAATCTAAAATCCTATATCTGTTTTTTTATAATTATTATTATTATTTCTGTACGTTAAATAATATCTTTAGCACACGTATGTACCAGATCTGTTAAACCTCCGAACGGCTGTACTGTGGTACTGTAACGGTTTGGGTTTTTTGGTGAATAGTCAAGTGCGATATAGGTTTTGTCCTAAAATTTTCATGATGAAAAAGTTATATATAATGAATTAAGTAAGTACTAAAGTTTTGAGAAAAGCCACAACTCAAAAGCTCAATGTTACGTATCTTAATTATTTTGTTTCAACTATCTAACATAATTTTTTTGAATTTCAGATTTGAATAGAAAGTTTATTTTTTTTTCATATTGACCGCTGTGACTAAGATCATGATCGTAAGTTTTTATTAAATGCAAATGCATTACCGATTTTAGAAAACTCAACCAAATGCCTATACCCTCATACATATTATTAGTTAACGGAAATTATCTGTCAAATTGAAAGTGAACGTGGTAGATGCCGTGTTACACAATGAATGGAGTCATCAAATTGCTTGAATTTGTATGCTTTATTCATGGGTTTACTCGAGTCTTTAATCAATGAAATCATACGCTAACTCGAGAAATACTACCGAGTACACAAAACAGATGTTGCAACTCACAACACAGTCTAAACGTATAACCATTTGCTTACAGTTTCGGACACAAGCCGACGAGTGCGTCACTGTAATTAATAGAGCGAGCTTCTATTCTCAAAAGAAAATAAAAATATCGCGTTCGGATCGGTCCAGCCACCGCACACTCGAAAACATCGTGAATCACAATTCCTTGAAACCACTTGAAACAGTTTCTGGTTTTAGTTTAAACAGCGGAGAGCCAATATTTGTTGATAATATTATTAGGTACGTGTAGTCATAATAATTATACGTACTTGTTACAAAAAAATACAATTTAAACAAAGTTTATTTTATGTTTTTTTTAAGCATTTAACTGCTAGATGTTTAAATCTATTGTGGGTTACCTACAATGCGAAGAGATGGCGCTGCCTTGCAGCTTAAGGCTGGGAAAATTTCGACGCGGCTAATAGGGCCGTGGTAGCATAATGGTCAGTGCATTCGCCCGGATAGCGAAGGATGCGGGTTCGAGTCCCGTCCGCTGCCTGGTCCGCGTGGATTTTGTTCTAGTAAACTTTTCTTTAGAATTAAAAGTTTATTTTATTGAAAGGGCATGAAGGGAGCTATTGCAATGGTCCAAGTTGACTAAAGGAATTTTATGTATTTTGTAACTAGAGTTTCATTAAGAAATTTAGGCGAAATGTAATTCGTCTGTTTTTTAAAATATTTAAATTTCATCTATATCTAGCAAACTGAGCTTTTGTTTGAGGCTTTTCTCAAAATGTTAATTAATGCTTAATTCTTTAAAACAAAAGATAAAAAAGAATGCCATTAAGTCAAGTACGAAGTTTACAAATCCGCAACTCCTTTAAATGATTTTATTGAAATGAAAAAACTACCTTGATGTTCTTAATGTAATCGTTTCGTTCGTAAACTTCTCTACTTTTTCTTTGAGTCTAAACATTGTTCTTTTACCAAACATAAAAAATGCCAACTCCGTCCATCAAACAGTAGCTTTTTAAACAGTAATTATATTTACATTTCTACTGTGTATAGTGTTCTTTAAGCGTATCTTACAGAGTCGTCACACGGTGTTCAGCGAGTTATACGAATCTCTTAATAATAAATTTCTATCGCTACACTACAGGCAAAGTTTTATGGCGCGAGTTCTTACAATGGGGGATGTCGTGAATGATAAGGACATGCGTTGTGCCAAGAAACCTTTTCGCACCTCATCTCTATTGTCGACATTCAAAGCTTACATTAGCGGAAAAGCAACGCAGTCTCCGCTCTGTTCATTCTGTGTGCATATCCGGGGAAATATTATAAATATTAGAATGAAAATGTATCCCAAATGTTTCATAAAAAGTTTCGATTCGAATTTCTCAGAGAATAAATCTTAATGTAAAGATGAACGTACGACGAACAAATGAACATTTTAATACAATAAACAAATGGTTAAGTAGGTACCAACCAATTAGAAAATTAAATTCTATTAATTAGTTTGAAAAGTGAGAACAATTTGGGTATTTAGCAGCTTCTAATTAAAATTGATTTTACTATCATTATCAAAACAAGCGACCAAAATAGATTCAGGTTGCATTGTATGTTTAGTCTTCTTCCATTTCCAAACGATTGATAGTAACTGTATTCTGGCGCGGAAATCGAATTCCGTAAGGTTTACGATCGCTTGTGTTGGGATGGAGGGGGCTGTAATCTTATTGTTTCAATTGAGAACAAAATGAGAAACGTATAGTCAACGCCATGACACTGGTTACACACGTATTACGAATATCGTTAAGATCGTTAGAGTCAAGGGGGTCAATGTAACAGAGGCACAGTGTAACAAAAGAATACTTACTTATATTCAAATGAAAATATTCTTTACATTAGGGAAGCACAAACTGAGCTTTGTTTTGAAAACATTACTAATCTGTATTACATATTAGAAAAATATCTCTGTATCTGTATATATAGAAAGAAATATCTGTGTATGATACCCGGCCATTTGACGTCTGATGACCGGTGCTTAAGATGGCGGCATTAATAATCTAATAAAACACGTCAAGACAAAAAAGAAAAGTGCAGAGATATTCCTTATGTTACACTGTGCCCCTTGTTACACTGTCCCCCTTGACCCTTCATACATTGATAAATAAACAGGATGCCGCAATAGTAATCACTCTATCGGAAGATATTATAATTGAAAAATTGAAAACAAATATTGAAAATGCCGCGAACGTCAATCATATTTGACATTTGTGAAATAGACAGATGCAGAATATAATCAGACAAGCAGTGGAGCACGATAGGCCGTATACAGAAAGAAAGCCGAAAGCCGATCGGCGCCGATCAGCGCCGATCGGCGCTTATCGGCGCCTATTGACGCTGATCCTTTTTCTATGGACCGGCGCCGATCGGCGCCGATAAGCGCCTATAGGCGCCGATCAGCGCCGACACGCGCTGGTCCGAATAATAAATAATTTGTATTTGAATTATTATCCTTAGATTAAATCAATCTAAGTTATAATCTTTTTATAAATCTAATAACTTTATCTTTTATTAACTAAGCGCTAAAATTATTTGTTTCGTACTTACCGAATGGTGACAACAAGTCTTTCTTCTGGAAGGATTGGTTGTTTATGCCAATTGCTCCAATTTTTCATCAAACGGTTTTTACTAAATCCAAAATGTAATAAAATGTTTCTTGAATCATTCTTGTATATGTATAAAATCTTTGTTCATCAAATTTAAATTTTTTTACAAATAAATGATGGTATTCTCCGAAACGTTTCCTTTCTCTATTTATAGGATGTATAGCTGTTTTTCGCATTTTTAAATAAACATTTTCTAACAAAACCAACTCATCGTCCGATGAGTCCGACATTTTGCTTGATCTGCTTTAATCGGCTTCCTTTGTGTAGGAAGGATCGGCGCCGATAGGCGCCGATCGGCGCCGATCGGCTTTCGGCTTTCTTTCTGTATACGGCCATACTCTGCAGGAGCGTCAGCATGAGTGGTTTCAACAAGACATTGCAACCGCACACACAGCACGATTTCATTTCGGAGATTTGGAATGGCCAGCAAGATCTCTCCCCAGATTTATTCTTGGGCTTGAAGTTTTGGGTGTATGTCAACTAGGAGACATAATCGCAGAGTGGAGTGGGAGAGAGTGGAGCTTAGCTTAGTCATTCGCCATAAATGCGAACAGTTGTCACCGAAATTCTTGTGGAAATCAAGGTAAAGGCTATAAAAGGGGCACAAATATATGATACACAATCATATATTAAATAAATTTAAAGATGCTTTAAAAAAAGCACTTATCTAAAAAGCTTATTACAAAGTGTCTGATTATATTAAAGACAAAAATGCTTGGGTTTGAACTGTGGAACAGTAATTGTAACAACATAATACTTGTAAATGTTGTTACGTTATTCTTTTAATGTTTTTTTTTTATTTTTTTTTTAATGTTGTGGAGTTTTTTCGCTCGTTTTTCTCCGCAACTAAAAAATATGTCCAATAACAAGTGGTAGGGAGGAAAAAAATTGGCCGATTCAAATGAGTTGTAATATACATCCAATTTGAATAAAGATATATTGATTTCTGATTTAACTGGCGGCAGCATATTGACGGTTATCATCTTATTCACTTAATAAAAAATAAGTTTTTTTTTTAATTTACTAGAGAGTTATACAAAACCATAATTGGATAATTACTTTTACACCACCTTGTAGTTATCTATCTTTTGATGTTGCCTGCCAAAAGTAAATTTTACAGTAGCCAGAAAAATTACGACACTGGATGCTGAAAGCGCATGGAAATCGCTTAAGGTGGCCAGTGTACATTAGTGGACGTCCATGGTGATGATGATGAGTTCAAAAAGCAGTAGTTAAGTGTTTCTTTTTTGCGGTGGCTACCTTCTCGTCGTCGCTCGCATCGCCGACGTCCAGATGCTTGGCGTCGGCGCCGCCCGAGCCGTTGGTGTCGGGCGCGCCGGCCGGCGTGCTCCACGGAGACGCAATGGTGCCGGCTGCGAGCGCACCGCTCGCTGCAACAATGGAAAAGTAACCGTTCATTATAATGTTACTAGCGATCTGAGGCCCAAGAAGCCTTAGAGCATCTAAGGGCCCAAATACGATTTTCTTGTCAGCTTTGTAACGTATCGTCATCGTTAAATGAAGAAATCTAGTTTGTTTTTAGGTGCGTGCGTGCTTAGTTTTCTTAGAAACTTTGAGGATGCGATACGTTACGGAGCTGTTAAAAATTCCTTGCCTAGGCCCCCGATAAAACATAAAAGTATTCCTGGGCGACAAACCCAGAAATAATAGAGGTTTCCAATGGTGGAAGAATTTTTGAAATCAGCCAAGTGGTTTTTAGTTTCTTTGTTACATATTACAAACACTTAAATTATTCCTCTTTCTTTCACTTACACCAATTAGCCTAGCTCCAAGTTATGACATAATACATTACAATAATATAATATAAGTATTTAATGGAAATTATTATGAGAAATAAAGTTTTGATTAAGTCTTTTCAGTTAACCATAATATTTAGTAGCTGTGTATCAAAGCCCAAGTTATTATTATACATATTATACAATAATTTATGTAAATTATAATGAGAAATAAATTTCTGATATAAGTCTTGTCAGTTAACCATAGTCAAAGTAGAAGTTATCTATTATAGACTTAACCTCGTGTTGCTTCAAAAACTACTTATGGTAATGGTAAACTAATTTAATTTTGATTTTCTGGCTCTGTAAAGAGAAATGGCTTGAAGTAATACAGTTATATTTATTCAATGAAATTGGCAATGTTTTAATTTAATAAAAAAATTGGTCAACGGATCAGCCTTGCCATTCAAAGTGGTAATGCTGCAACAAACGAACCTTAATGCGAGAGTCGGCGATGCTGAGTTTTTGACTCTAGATATGTAGTTTTTGGAGAGATCGTGATAATACTTTTGTAAGAAAGGGAGAGGGGGGTGGTGGTGTAGCTATCCCGGCGCAAATATCACCAGTTAATTTACCATTATAAAATCGTACACTTACTCCTCGACTCACCGTTTCTTACCTCAACCACGGATATTACCGTGCCTCAACGCTTAGTTTTAATATTAGATTTAGATCGCGTAATCTCACCCATAGGGTATTTCCTTAGCAAGTTTATAAAAACAACACGTCCTTTTATAATTTAATCACAAAATGTGTCGTCTATACGATAACCTGCATAAGGATCATTCTTCCTTGGACATTTTTTTAGTCGGATTCTTGAATTTCGGAAAGAAATCCAAAGATTAATTCTACGTTAGCAAAAAAATCTGTTACCTAATTTCAAATTTTGTTAAACTGACTTTTTGGTGTGTTTAATTGTTGAAATTGGATTTTAAATATTTTTCTTTCTCTGTATACTTCAGCAAATAAAATTTTGTCATGTTATGCCCACATATTTAGAGTTACAGTTTGGTTATATTATTGTATCTGCTTTGTATTTTAATATTTAATATTGACTTGTTTTGTGAGCTAATATATAAAAATAAAAAAAACTGCAAAATTTATTATCTACAGTATTACAATATGTAGAAAATAAAAAAATAAAAATCATCTATCTTTTTATTGGCATCTTTTGTATATAGGCAGTATACATTCGTCAAATACTAAGTACAATCTTCTTTATTTACCAAAACATTCTCGGATTGTTTATTGTACTGACTGTACATACACATTATGATGGTTCAGTTATTATAAATTTACCGTTCTGGAGCCCTATTTTGATCGGAAATCTTGGCAAAAACGGCCGTAAAAGCGAGTATCGCGCAATATTAGTTTAACAGCGGAGTTTGACGTCAGCAATTTGTTTGTTTACTGCGGATACGGCTTGTAAACATCCAATCTTATTGTACCTCTGCCACTACGTCAATGTAAGCAATACTGTTGCACTCGATCCAACGTTTCTGTCCATAGAGATTACTTTTGAACCATGGAGGTTAGAGAGAAGGAGAACGATCGCTGTAGTAAATAGTGTCCCAGAAATATGGACAAAAAGAATTGTGTGTGTCAGCTCCGACGCACGACCGGAGTTTACACTCTAAAAACGATTGTCTTTGAACCGACACAAAACAAAATCAAGTCCGAAGAAGTCGGTTACAAGTAGAAATACCTCAGGAATCGTCCCATGGTTTCGACTATCATAGGTTCCATGTCACACATTTTATCATCTAACATCAGCGATATTCATCATATATTTTATTATGTATTTCTGGAAACACACAATTTCAAAAATATCACACACTAGTCATCATTTTGTAAATATATATTATAATTCCATCTGTACTGAAAATCACTATTCCAGAGTGCTGGACACTTACCGGCATTTCTCTATATTCTGTTATTTTTTTTTTCATAAATTTTGCTCCGATTTTATCTATTTTTATTTTATTTATTTTACATTTATTATGTTTATTTATTGACATTTGTGACAACTTAATGTGTTTGATCCGTTGCTATGGCTAAAAGTGAAAGGTGCGCAGATGAGGTTGCGCACAAAAACGTAACGAGGTCATTAATGTCATTCATCGATAGATTTTACTCCTCACATTTTTCTCATACCGGGCCCCTTATATATGCAAATCGATTCTTAAGGAGTAAACTCCAATAAGTGAGGCGCTGCGATCGCTCAATAAAAGCGGGCTGTTGTGCGCTAATTTTAAATTTGTACATTATTCAACTAACTTCATTTACTTGTACTCATAAACAGCTAACTTCACAGATACTACTTACTGACGGCAGCGTGGCTGGTGGCTGAAAAATGAACTATAAATTGTACAAATTATCAGGGACAGGTGGGCTAATGCTTTAGCACGTGGCGATCTTTCTCCTTCTCTCTATCCTCCATGTTTTGAACTCTGCCTGACATGTTTGTTGACATTATTCGAATCCCTTTTGTGACGAGCTTCAGGTAATTTGGTTTTTATGTAGAGTAAATTTTACTTAAGTTATGTGCAAAATAGAAATAACTGTCATGTTTCTGTGTCATATGTATGACATAGAAATAACTGTCATGTTTCTGTGTCATATGTATGACATATGACACAGAAACATGACAGTTATTTCTATTTTGCACATAACTTAAGTTCTTTGTTTCAGGTACCATACCATACCAAATATAATATATATGGTGATTAAATAAGATTCCTTCCCATTTTCCTAATTCTTCCTTCTTAACCAGTTAGGCAAAAGTGAATAAAGATCTTCTTTCGTAGATGGCTAAGATAAACGGCTTTGATATGGGCCAAAGGTACTGAATTTTTAATGTAAATCTAAGTAACGTCAGTAAACATAATCACTTAAAGATCTATTGACGCAGAGGGAATTCTAACATGCGATATGATGTTCAAGAAGCACAATGTAATCGCATAAAACCGTAAATACTGGACCCGCACGCGTACCGTGATGAATTTTACTGTTGCTCAACAATAAAACTTTAAAATTCAATCTGTGATCTGCTCTGAGCGAGCAGCGGGAAATTTTCTTAATACCAAATAATCTTTGTTTTCCTCGAGAACCGAGCGCGGAGGTCGTAGGCATTCCGGAAATTTTCATATTTACTGCTAGAAATATGCAGGTACGAAATGTTTACAGTATAAATATAATATCAAAACGGAGAATTTCTTTATGAAGATCGGATCCGTAGCGCGAGCGGAGTGAGCGAAGTATTCGTCGTCTCGCGACGTCCGCCGTGCCGTCCCAGCTACTTTATAAAATCCTATCTTTGGATATTTTTCCTTGCGAAAGTGATTTTTCCTTAAATAACTTTGCGCATTATAATGTTTATTTATTTATTTTATTACCAGTTTTAAAGACACATAATAGTTCTATTCTCAATCGCATCTTTAAACCACAGAGGTTTGAATTTATGCGATAAACATATATGCGAATAGTATCTATATAAGAAAAAAATACCGTGATGACAGCATTTGCTGAGCATAATTATATTTTGATAATATTGTTTGTGGAAAACGGATGGAAATAAAGCTACGTTTACTTTGAGATAACTGTTACTAAGAAATTTCGTCTGAACTCTTCGGCAGAGCGGTGAAGAAATGACAATTTAATCGAAAATGAATATGTCTGTTGTATCTTAAATTCAAATAGTTTACTAGTCATTTAACAGATATTTAAGTAGTTTGTAAAAGTTCGTTATAATCATTAGTTTTCAACTTTTCATTACTTATTGTTCCCTATCTATGGATATGGACAGTAATAGTTACAATTGTTTATTACTTTCTATGTATGAGTCCAATGCGTCTTAGTGAGTACCAATTTCTACCTTAAGATGTTTTATGATGAGTTTATTTGATTAACTGTTTGTTGGCGGTCATTAAAGAAAGTCGCATAATCTTCGCTACCGTATATCAACTGCGTTTACTAGCTATCGACACATTCCTTGCTATACATCATCTTTGTATAGATGCCTTAAAATATAATACACATACTCATTTACGCCTTTACATTTTTCATGCATACTGCATTTACACCATTGTATTAAGTCAGTCAGGTGCTTCTTCTTGTTGGTGCATGCGCTGACATCATCTTGCTTATTTACTACTACAGAACACGGACTAATGTAATAGCTCATATCGAGGGTGTTCAATTAAGGCCATTTGTGCACGATTTGTGCTGCTCCAACAGAATATGTGTCATCGACATCGTTGCGTATAAAGGTATAACAACATTATGTAACATCTATAATATGTCACAGGTGTCAAATCGGTACGGTCAGGGACCTTGATTCTTTGGATGGGTTTGTTCTTCTTCGTCACAAAGTAAATGTTTCACGATAAAAAGTGTGAGTTGACTCGCCACATTCCTATTTTTATGAAGTACATTGCATGTGATATATTAACTTTCAATGTTTTATGAAGTTAACGAAAAGTGACGAATTTACAACAACCTCTTTGTATGCTTAGGTTATGGATTCTGATCTCGTTTAGAGGCTTATTTATGTAATGTGTGTGATGAGTAGGTATTTGCAAATGCGCGAGTGGTTTTTGTATGTATTCTAATCCTCTATTAGTCACAGTTTTTAATAGGTAGGTAGGTAGATAATTCACTAAATTACACACTTTTGAAGTAGTTTGGAGATACATACACATTTCGAGATTAAAATGACAGATGACAAAAATGTAAGCAGTCATAACTTGTAAATATTTTTTTTTTCTTAAATGTTACCTAGCCTGCTGCGGGTATTAATGCCGTGTCATGTTTCTAAATTGAAGTAAACGTGACACAATCGGATACAAATATAAATCAAGAACAGTTTCCTACTACTCACGAACAGAATAACATATTATTTTCATTGAGCAGTAGAAGATAACTCCTTCTGGATTCACACATTACATTTCCGTTAGCGCCTCCCTCGCACATACGACACTAACAGCGTGAAACGTGCTAACACAGAGGTTCAATTACATTTTGTGAGTGACTAATAAATTCTAGCGCGGTCGTTTCTCATAAAGGGCGCATGAACGTGCGATAATTAAAATAATAAAGCGGCCGGGTGCGCATTGTGCGCGTATGACAAGTGCCCGCAATAAAGGCCCCTCGCTGGGGTCCCATTCTGATGTTCAGTGAGGGATTGCGACGGTGTTTTTAACATAATATCCACTCCTAAATGCCGTTTTGATACGTATGTTGATTGTCACAAGTGCGCGTGTTCGAGTTTGAAAGGCATTGTTTTTGCTTTATTGTATGTGTACCAGTACTATACCTATCTACACTATGTGCCATGTTTATTTTATTACTTGTACAGACATTACAATTGTGAAATCAAAAATACTAAAGAATGCTAAAAAGAAAATACTGAGATTTTCCACAAATTTGGGTTTTCATATATTCATTAATGGAGGTCAAATGAATGTTGGGTTCACAGATCTACGTTTTATTGGTTTGGCTTATTTATTTAGATAAGTACTCAAACTCATTTTTTTTTACTTCAGTAAACGTTTTCTAATAAGACGGCGAGTTTAAGCAATTATTAATAAATCTGCTTTTTACTGAAGAATTATTAACTGTGAAATAAAAGCTTAATACATGTACATATATGTATTCTGTCCGTTACTCTAGTATCCCATAACACAAGCCTACAGTGATTACTTTGGGGCTAGGCTAATTGGTGTGAGTGTTGGAAATATTTATTTATTTAAAGTTATTTGTAATATTTTGAATTTCTACTTCCTTAACACGAGTGCTTTTTCTTCTTTTAAAACTTTCGTCATCGTCGCATAGTGGTTGCCATAAAAATAAATGACTTGTTTAATCCAGAGTAGTGTAGAGAAAGACGCGAGTGGGCAGCACAAAATCTTTTATTTATAGGTTGTAGCCGCACATGTGATATAAAAAGGATTGAAAAGGTTATAAAACTGCTGTTTGCTTTCCGTTATTAAAAACAAAGCTTAAGCTGCCTTATTCCAAAACGCGGACTAAAGTTAGTCGTGGGTTAAACCTAATGGTGTCTCTGTTTCTTTTT